TTCTTGATGCTCTTTAAAATTGTAGTAGCTAATATTTTGCAATTGCTCATTCTTTTCATCGTCCATTCTCTGAAAATAATGATTAGGTATTAGAGTCAAATGATGTGAGTATCTTCCTCTATTTAAGATATTTGCAAAGTGACCACAATCTCTCAAACGTTCATCATCATCCCGAGAACCATAAATACTCAATACAGATGTCTGATTTGTTAACTGGCATAATTTCGAAAAGTCTAACTCAATGTGTTTCTTCAGTGTTTCAGGTTTCACTGAAGTATATATATATTCGTATTCGTCAAGTTCTTCACTAAAAAGAGTTTTATTATGAGATTTGAATGCATCCAGATAGAACGTAGAACAGCAATTGATTAAATTTGGTAGAATTATAGCTTTTTTTCTATCTTTCAAACTTTTAGAATAGTATAAATCGTTTTGCTTTATTGCCCAAGCAAACATCATAGCTGCACCATCCAAATATCCTATAATTGACCACAAGTATAACTGTAGGTCTTTCTTAGAATTTGTTATGTATTTGACAGCAGCATCAATGTATTCGGCACCTTTTTCCAAAAATTTCCAACTATTCTGATTTTCATTATTTGGTACCTTTATCCGTAAACTGTATAAACCTAGTTTAGATGATAGGAACGAGGCTAAGCTCCTGATGCGAGTAGAATTATAATCTTCATCTTTCCCTGGTATAATCAATACAGCTTTTTGGGTAGGTGGTGAAAAATTATCTTTATACGGAGTCGATGAATATAGGAATTCTGGGCTTCTAATAACACCTACAAACTCCTTATCTATTTCAACTTCTTCTTCAATATTATTTTTACACAGTGTCTTCGGCATTAATATTAGATTAGCATAAACTAAATTAATCCCGCGTGGTGCAGCTTGACATCAGCCTGTTTTTTTTTTACGTCAAATTCAAAGGAGTTTTCTTTTAGAAATTACATTTTTAGTCTTCCACATTAAAGCCGAAAATGCCAGACTCACTAGAACAGAGGAGGTCGCTATCTTCTTATTTTCACTTGTTTGTTGACGAGATAGGTATAAAGACATTAGCGAAATCTGATAAAGATGTGTTCATTATTCTTTTATTAAGGATGCTTCGATTGACTGGATTTGGTGCAACCTCTTTAATATTGGTACTTTATTTGAAACAAATAGACTTTGAAGAACAGTTTATTGGAATGTTTATGACTGTAACATTTATTGGAGATTTAATTACAAGTTTTCTTTTGGCAGTAGCTGCAGATATCATTGGAAGAAGGAAAATCTTAATGTTAAGCTCTATCGCAATGACACTTACAGGAATCTGCTTCGTTCTATTTGAAAACCCATATATTCTTACTGCTATTGCTACTATAGGTATTTTAACTCCCTACGGAGGAGAAGTTGGGCCATTTCGATCAATTGAACAGAGTTCATTAGCTTCATTAGCCCCTCCTGAGCAACGATCTGATGTTTATTCATGGTATACATTCCTTGGCACATTCTGTGCAGCTATAGGATCAATTGCATGTGGAACTTTGGTCGATTATATGAATGTGCATTTAGATTACTCGCTAGCGTCTAGCTATAGAGTCGCTTTTCTTGGTTATACTGTTCTTTCATTCCTTTCAATTATTTTGTCATATTTTATCTCTACTCGTATTGAATGGACTTCAGAAGAGAAGGCTAAGAAATCTCAAACTTCTAAGCAAGGAAGTACCGAACAGGATGAGACAACCCAGTTATTGGAGCCAGAGTTACATTCAGAATCTCAAGATCAACAAGATGGCCATGATCAAAATCAGAAAAAGTCTAAAGAATCTGTTTTCAAATTTATGCCAACGTTACATAAATCTATTCTTGTTATAGTGATAAAATTATCATTATTATTTGCACTTGATTCTTTTGCTTCGTCATTGATATCATCGTCATGGATTTCATACTATATAAAAGAGAAGTTTGATGTTTCGGCATCATATTTGGGTTCAGTATTTTTTGTAACTGGTATTATTAGCAGTTTCGCTTCGCTCTTAAGTACTTCGTTAACAAAACGTTTGGGTCCGGTCGTAACCATGGTTGTTACCCATTTACCTTCTTCCATTCTTTTGGCACTCGTACCTCTTCCTACTTCATTGAAAGTCACAATGGCAATCTTGGTTTTACGATCATCTACCCAATCTATGGATCAAGCTCCCAAGCATGTCTTTCTAGCTACATTAGTTCCATCAAGTGAAAGAACAGCTGTGTTTGGCTGGGTTAATGTTGTCAAAACTCTTGCCCAGGTTCTTGGACCAACAATCACAGGTTTTTTCACCGTCTACAATATTCAATGGGTTTGTTTCGTTATTGCAGGGTCTTTAAAGGTGACTTACGATGTCGGAATATTAGCCACATTCTTATCCTATAATCGTCACAATGATCATTAATAATAGACCAATGGTGTCAGGCCTAGCTAGGCAAATTTGTAATAAATGTTTAGTGCCAATATATATATATATATATTACGCAATGTTTAGCCTTAAGGCTTTATTAATAACAACCCAATCTGGGGGAGTGATAATATTGCAAATTAACCTAGCGAGTAGATATTACTTTCTTGAGACTGGTTACATTAAAAAATATATTCTCAAAATCTCAACGGTTAGTGGGGTAGCCACTAAATCAATGCCCCCACCAAACAGTGCCTTCTCTTTAGATTTAATCCATAACTCCTCTTTCGACCACCAGATTATTTGCAATAATGGGGAGAGTTACCCAAAGCATATATTATTACTATAAATATCGTTTATTTGCTTATTTTTGGGAATGAAACTGATAATTAGAAACTTAACTACAATGAATAACTTATCAAACTTTAATGCATGGGCAAATAACCCTCTCAAGACAAGAAATGATCTCGTACAAGCCCTTCACCAACAATTGGATCCATTGATTCCCGCTTTCTCCGAGGATGGTGGTGCAGTTTGTTTAGCTGATTCTGGGGCTATATTCACAATGGAAGCAGCAGAATTAGAAGGTTTTGCCAGGCCATTATGGGGAATTGTTCCATATGTTTTTGGTGGTGGTGAATTCAAACATTGGGATCTCTTCAGAAAGGGTTTGACAAATGGAACAAATTCCAACCATCCAGAATATTGGGGAGATATTAAAATTTTAAGTATGAAACAACAGTTAGTGGAATTGGCAGCTGTTGGTTTTGCGTTGTGTTTCGTTCCGGAGCATATCTGGAATCCGTTAACAGATGAAGCCAAGAGAAATGTTTCCAAATTTTTACTTGAGGCAAGAGAAAATGAATTTAATCATTGCAATTGGAAATTTTTTAGAGTTATGATAGATTTAGGTTTAGAAAAAATTGGGATTGAATTTGATAGATCCTTGACAGAAGAATATTTCGAAGACCTAGAAACAATGTATATTGATGACGGCTGGTATGGTGATGGTGTTAACTATAGAATTGATTATTATAACCCTTTTGCATTACATTTTTATGGTATGATATATTATTTCATCAAGCATGATAGTGATCCAGAAAGAAGTAACATATACAGAAGTAGAGCTGAGAAATTCGCAAAGCAATTTATTCATTGGTTCAGTGATGATGGAGCTTGTATACCATTCGGTAGATCTTGCATATATAGGTATGCTGTTGATGCATTTTGGGGTATGATTGCATGTATAACCAAGCCAAACGAAGAGCCAGTCATTCCATGGGGTGTTTTGAAGGGTGTGTATTTAAGAAATTTACGTTGGTGGTCCAAGCAGTCTGTTTCTTTCTATAAAACTAACATTTTATCGGTTGGTTACAGTTATCCAAATCAGTTCATTTGTGAAGCTTACAACTCTCCTCAATCGCCATATTGGTCACTTAAAGCAATGTCACCTTTAATGTTACCAGAATCTCACCCGTTCTGGGCTACCCAAGAGGAGCCATTGCTATTAGAAGATGCTAGCTTTAGAGTACCTGGGATGTTTATTTCTCACGCTAAAGGTAACACTATTGCATTGTCAAGTGGTCCTTACCATGATTTCGCTAGACACTGGGCTGAAAAGTACTGCAAATTTGCATATAGTACTAGATATGGTTTTAGTGTGGAAAACAACCTAAAAGAATTTGAATTAGCTACTCTTGATAATATGATAGGTTTTAGCTTCACTGGCAAGGACTTCTACTTTAGAGGTAAGAATAAATCTTGGATTTTCAAAGACGGCTTGTATAGTGAATGGTCGCCTGTGAAGGATATTGAAGTCAAGACCTGGATACTCCAAAGAGGTAAATACCATATAAGGGTGCACAACATCTTTAATAATTCCAATGATGCTGTAGTATCTTTAGAAGGTGGCTTCGCAGTTTCGGTAATGCGTAAGAAGAAGATTGATATCATTACTAATTCTGGGTTAAAATCTATTGCTCAAATATCAACTTCTGATGATACCAGTTTATTGATTAATTTATTAAATGAAAGAGAACCAAGAGCATGTGAGCCAGATCCAAATTGCAATTTAATATCGTCAAAAGTAATGTTACCACAGTTAAGAGGGTCAATCCCAGCTAAATCTTCAGCTAATTTTGCTTGTGTTGTCTACGGTCAGCCTAAGGACAGTTCCTTCTCGGCCGATACCTTAAAATATTCCGTAGATATTCCAAATCAAAGAGAGTTAGAGGAATTAAAATCTAAGGCTCACAGAGTGTTATGTAATGTTTAGTTTAGCTTAATAGTGCGCCAACTGATATATCAAACTTAGAGAGATTTACTGTAGCTCTCTAATCAAATAAGAAATTTCCAAAAATTTAGGCTTATCTCATCATGTTAATCTTAAAATCGTAAATATTAAACTTTAAACTTCTTCTAATAAATTATATTAACATCATCTACTTGCATTTCTAAGTATTTAGGACGTGTCTATCTTCGATCTGATATACAGCTGTTTTTAATTATATTCATCTTCATCAAATTTATCAACCATGATTGCCTTATCTGCGGCGTATTGCATATCTGAAATATCCTCACCAAAAACTTGAGCCATTTCCTCTAATCCTAAGCCAAATGTCTCAGGAAAAAAGAAGTATATTATCATTGCTTGAATAGATAGCCATACACAAAATACAATATAATATCTCCATTGAATGGCATCCATACCTAAATTGTTGACATAATTATTAAATAGAATCCATCCATTTGTACACATTTGGTATAGAGTAGATGCCTTACTTCTTAATGCGTATGGTACAATTTCCATAACATATGTGGTACCTATTGGAGATGACATGTGATAGAAACCAAAATGAAAATAAATGATTGCAATAATAGCTCTACCTATTGCCTTATTCTTGAAGTCCTTTTGTTCATTAATTGCTGATAAAATAATCCAAATAATAAACATTAGGCACATCAGAAGATAACTTGTCATAAATAACTTTCGACGCTTGAGCTTACCACATATAGATGCAAATGTTAGTGACCAAACTAACCCATATATTGTCAAACCAAGGTTAATCTTCAATTTCTCAACTGGTTCAGTAATTCCAATATTGTTAAGAACTATTGGGAAGTAGTAAGCTGTTAACGATGAGCCACATAACTGTTGCATTGATGGTACTACTAGAGATAGAAATAATCTATGCATATTCGCCTTTGTTTGAAACCAGACATTCCAGGTGAATTGCTTGCCAAGCTTCTCTCTGTCGATTGCGGCCGAGATTTCAGCCATTTCGAATTTTACTAGTGGACTTTCTTTGTCGCCCCCAGCATGGTATTTAGTTAAAACTTCAAATGCTTCTTCAGATTTCCCATTCGCAATTAGCCATCTAGGGGATTCCGGTCCTAAGATAGCTAAAATTAATTCAATTGTAGGAAATAAAGCTTGGAGCAAAGATGGTAACCTCCAGGACCAATTGTTGTATTTCATACTCGATATATATGGACCCCAGGTAAATAAAGCTGCTAAAAATGATCCTACCAGGAAACTCGCATATAGAAAACTTGTCATTGCCGGTCTTTGAGATGGGTATGCTGTCTCTGTCAATAAAGGACCAGCACCTGCCGTCGAAAGACAGACACCAAACCCAAGTATTATACGAGCTGCAAAAAACATTCCATAATTTATTGCACCTGCTTGTATACCTGAGCCAATAATAGTTAAAGACGTACCAACAATAATTATGACCTTTCTTCCGAGACGATCATTAATAAATCCAGTAAACGGAATCGCCCCTAATGCCCCAATTGCAACACCGTTACTTATGGTACTTAACACTTCACCTGAAGGGTTATTAAAATATTCAGACCAACTTGGCAATGTCTGTAAATTACCCATCATACTACCATCATACCCGTAAGTGATACATGCAAAAATAGCACTCAAAAGATATATATTCAATTTCAAAAGATGTGGATATCTGAACCACATTTTGGTTAACTTAGGTGTAACGTCCTCCAATTTGAGATTTTCATCTTTATTAAACTGTTGCAGGCATATAGAATCCTCTTCTCTTACATAGCTTTCATTTTTTTTACTTGAAAACATGAGAGCGTCTATTTAACCTATTATACTGTCTACAGCCGTAAAGTTTCCACTTTCTAAAGACAACTGTTTAGAATATCTAAAACCTGCAGCCTCTGTTCGTAATTACATTACACTCTGAACCTCTATCGTTTAAATAATAAAATTAGTGTCAAACCTCTATATTTCTTTTGAAAAACTTGGTGGGGTGGAGTTAATTTCATTTTGGGACGTCCACATGTGGGGAAGATCGGTTATGATTCGTATAATGCGAGGATTAAGGTTTAGCTGTGGGTTACAGTGATCTCTTTTAATAAGTGCAGGACCTAGTAAGATCAACGGTTCTTTCGGAAATATCGTTTTTAGTGCGAGATTAGATTATCTATTAAACGGAGTTATGTGAGAAAACAATTTCAAACTATTTCAGTGTTATAAGAAAAAATGGCGCCATCTCTGATCTTAGTTCTCAATAAGTTTTTTGAACTTCAATATTGACCTTTCAAACTAAATGAAATGAACACAATTAGTGAATCAGGTGGACTGATAGTTCAGGTAGTCTTCTCAATTAATATTTGCTGGAATGAATGAAACCTTACATTTTGCAACGTTTTCCTCGTAATAGGGACCTAAGAGTCAATATGCAATAAAAGATGAACCGGTTGGTTGGCCCACTTAATGTCAGCGAGTGCAATCGTCATAGGGCTTTCGATGGGTTCATATTAATCAGATTCGCACTACTCCACAAATCCCCCACTGAAGAAACAAGTGGAGACGTAATAAACATTACCTGAAGACAGGAGGTATATAATTGAAGCATGTCCTTCAAGAATACCAAAATCTAATGCCTTTGAAGTAGATTTAAAGCAAATAATTATTCAAGAATGACCAAACCAACATCCGCTCAACCCTACTTAGACGAAATTAAGGATAAATTATACGGTGATTCTACCGTAGCAAAGATCTGGGGTATTGCATCCCCAGCCTTAAGTCAACCAGAACCACCAACTGGATTCCCAAACTATGCTCCTGATGGAAAATATGTCTTGAATGATGCCGACTATTGGACCTCGGGTTTCTTTCCTGGATCAGTTTATGCATTATTAGAAAGAAGTAAAAATTACCCCGATTTCTTCCCAAAGAATAAGATTAATGAAGTCAAATTGGAATTTGCTGCTAGATGGTGGGCAGATCCAATGGCGTCTAGAGCTACCACTACTACTACTCATGACTTGGGCTTTATGATTGCACCTGCGTTCAAGAGAGAAATGATCTTAACCAAAAGCAAAAGAAGTGAAGAAATTTTGATAACTGCAGCCAACTCTTTAGCCTCAAGATTTGATGAAAAGGTCGGATGTATTAGAAGTTGGGATGATTTACCTCCAATTAAGAAGGACCAAACACCTAAAGACATGGATAAGGACTTTTTGGTGATTATTGACAATATGTGTAATTTGAACTTATTATACCTTGGAGCATATTTAAGTCGTGACCTCCGTTTATCAACTATCGCTACCAAACACGCTGAAACTACTTTAAAGAACCATTTCAGAGATGACTGGTCATCGTATCATGTTGTTCAATATAACAAACAGACAGGTGAAGTAGATTCCAGATATACCGCCCAAGGCTTCGCAGATGAATCTGGATGGACAAGGGGCCAAGCTTGGGGTATTTTAGGTTATATTGAAACTTACTTCTGGACGAAGGATAGAAAATTCCTAGACGCTTCAAAGAATATTGCTAATTATTATATATCAAAATTACCTCAAGATGGTGTTCCACCATGGGATTTTGACGCTCAAGATAAGCATATTCGTGACGTTTCATCTGCTATGGCTGCTGCTTTAGGTATGATTAGAATTTACGAAGTCGAGAAAGACGAAGAATTTTTAAAGAAAGGATTGAAGCTTGTAAGAGATTGCATTAACCTTTCTTACAATAATGATGCTAAGCTAAATGATGATGGTACTGTTGAAATTGGAGCAACCGAAACAATTCTAAACAACTCTACTTATATTCACAACCCTGCATGTAACATTGATATATATGACCATGGTTTAGTTTATGCAGATTATTACTTCTTGGTAATTGGTAACAAGTTATTACAGTTGGGCTTGTATGAATAAAGAATATAATTATTTAGCGGCTGATAAATATTCTCAATTAAAATAATTATTTTTTGTAATCCCAAGATTTGTAAAATAAGGACATTTTGAAATCAGAAAATTTCAAAACCTTTCCTTTACGTAATAATTATGAAATTGATAAAACTGTAACACAGAGACAACATTTGAATTTCCCAAATTGCCAAATAGAAATCAGAGAAATATTGTATGTAATCATTTCTCAGTAAATAGAAACGTTTGGTGAAAAGTTGTCCCTATAATTCATTACCCCACCATTTTAATTAAATGTCCACCCCCACCACCAATATACCTATAAATACAATACTTTTTCATCTTATTTGGTATCAGATGTAGTTTATTACATCAAGAAGAATACTTAAGCAACAATGACACAAGGATATCAATTTGAAGGTTTTGCTGTCACCGATCCAAAAAACTTTACGGATGTTACAAAAATTAAATTCACACCAAAAACTTTCGAAGAGTATGATATTGATATTAAAATCCATGCTTGTGGGGTTTGTGGATCAGATATTCATACTGCTTCTGGAGCATGGGGTGAAGCTATGCTTCCAGTCATTGTAGGACATGAAATTGTTGGTGAAGTTGTGAAGGTTGGTTCAAAAGTTACTACTGTCAAAAATGGGGATAGAGTTGGTGTTGGTGCTCAAGTTTGGGCATGCTTAAAATGTGACGTTTGTAAGTCTGGAGAAGAAACATATTGCCCACATCTTATTAATACGTATAATGATAAATATCCAGATGGATCCATTAGTTACGGAGGATACCTGTCTCATGTTAGAGTTCACGAATATTTTACATTTAAAATCCCTGAAAAATTATCTACCGAAAATGCTGCTCCAATGCTTTGTGCTGGTATAACCACTTATGCTCCATTGAAAAAGAATACTCGTCCAGGTATGAAAGTCGGTATTGTCGGTATTGGTGGATTGGGACACTTTGCGATCATGTGGGCAAAGGCCTTAGGCTGTGAAGTTTATTCCTTCTCAAGAACCGATTCCAAGAAGAAAACCGCATTGGAATTAGGGGCTGATCACTTCGTTGATACTACTGCGAAGGACTGGAACAAAGACTTACAATTCAAATTAGATTTGATCTTATCGTGTGCAAGCTCTTCCAAAGGCTTCTCTATTGGCGAATATACTTCGATGTTGATCATTGGTGGTAAGTTTATCAGTGCTGGATTACCAGAAGCTCCATTTAGTGTTAATCCTGTTGATTTATTGAAAAATGCCTGCTACTTAGGTTCGTCACATTTGGGTAACAGACAAGAAATGATTGAGATGTTAAATCTTGCAGCTGAAAAAAATATTACTTGTTGGAATGAAACTATTCCAATCAGTAAAGCTGGTATTAAAGAAGCCCTTGAGAGGAATTGTCAAAACAAAGTCAGATATAGAATCACATTGACTGATTATGATAAGGAATTTCAATAATGATTCATTATTATTAACTTCTAGAATTTTATTACATACATTTTATTTGATATTTAATCGCATTTTTTTTAGTTAGTGTTTAGAGAGTTGAATAAATTTTTCTGGCTTATTTTGAAGAATTGTACGTATTTATTGTAACTAAACTTCTCTTGAAGATAAAAGTCACATCTGAGGGAATAACAACAAGGTGAATCTTGTAAATTGTCCTCAGACTACAATTGTACACATTATTTCTTAGTCCAAATCATTTCAATTGACTATTAATATATTTAAGTTTTTTCATTATCTATGTCTAAATATTTACTTGAAGGAAAATGAATAGAAATCTATCAATCACTGCGAGAATTTCGGTGGGGGAGGAGAGTTTTTTCTCAGAATTATACATTCACAAAATCAAAGCATAGTATAGAAAATATTGCTGAAGAAAACCAAAGAAAGATGATTGTTCAAAAAGGTACAGAAAATGGCGGAGAGAATATTCGGAAATACTCTTCTGAAAAACAATAAATCTGAAAGATAATACAAAACTTTTTAAGTGGCCACCTTCCTCCCCCTCCCCCCACCAGAATACTTAAAAAAGTGGGCAAGAAAAATTGTGTAGTATTTAGAAACTTTTATAAGCCGGGGAATATCCAAAGTTTTTAAGAATTATTTTAATCTCTAACTTACAAACTTAAATTAAATAATGACAGTTGCTGAATCTTCCATTTTACCAAGAGGTATTTATTCTCCGATCCCTACATATTTTAAAAATGATGGTAAGTTTTCTTTAGATACAGAAACCCAAGTCAAACATGCTTTAATGTTATACAAAAGTGGTATAAACGGATTAGTTGTCTCTGGTAGCATGGGTGAAGCTACCAATATATCACCTGCTGAAAGAAACAGTGCCTTGAAGAGTCTTAGGAAGGCTATTCCAGACAGAAATTTCAAACTTATTGCTGGAATGCCTCCAAGTAGTATTGCGGAAGTCATCAAGGAGTCTGAAGAAAGCAAGAAAAGCGGTGCGGACTTCATAATTGTTTTGGTTCCTGGATATTTTGGTACTAGTTTGATCAGTCAACAAGGTATTATTGATTATTTCCTTAATATTGCTGACTATTCCGCCTTGCCTATTGTTATATATAATTATCCGGGTTCCAGTAATAATGTTAACATCACAATTGATACTTTTGAAGTATTATCTAAACATGAAAATATTGTCGCTGTTAAGTTAACTCATTTCAATTTAGATATTTACACATTATTAGGAAATAATAAGGCTTATGAAACTAACAATTTTAGACCATTCACTGGTTTAGGTCAAGTATTGATTCCATCTCTTGCTGTTGGTATGTTCGGTGCTATTGATGGATTATCAGGTATATTTCCAAAAAGTATGTTAAAGCTTATGAAATTATACGAAGATGGTGAGAAAGAAAAGGCTCTTCAATTACAGTACATTATCACCAAGGTTGATTTAATGATTAGTGAATTAAATGTTGTTGGAGTCAAACAACTTTTGAAAGAAGTTTATGGTTTTGGTGAAATTGTTTCCGGTAGACCACCATTAAGTAAGCCAGTTGACTTAAAATCTTTCAAGAAGTATGAAACCGATATTAAGAAATTAGCCGAAATTGAAAAATCTTTATAGGATATTAGGCTAAAATTATTTTTGCATTCTTACTAAAGCTAGTACTTTTCTGTCGCTTACAAGAGAAATGAACAAGGTGGTAAGTTTAATCATACTCATATATTTGATATTATATATTTTTATAATATAGCTAATTTCACATCCATTTTTCTAAAATTAAGTAGTTTATGTGTAGTTTATTGGCTAGCTACTACAAGGGTAGTAGACTATACAGGCCTTGCGCTATCCCGATGAAAATCTGTTGCAACTTTCTATTTATCTATGATGTGTTACCCGGATATTTATATACAAAATATCTAGTTCAAAAGACACTATTAACACAATTTTGGTAATTGTAGTCGAAGTATATATTTATCTTTCCGTATAAAAGAAACTATAAGATAAAGGTTCATTAGTAATATTATATATTTTATCTGGAATTTTGGCAAAATATATTCTTTTTAAATAATTTTGGTGTATTGCGAAATAAATAGGGTTTTGCAAAACTTTGCAATTAATACTATCAGAGATGTGACAATTCTGAGAATGTTTTCTGATTAATTTTAAATATTCCTTCTATTTAAAAGGAAGCTATTAAGGGTTAACGTGTATCAAATTCAAGATGACTTCACCTTCAGTTGTCTTTTCTATTAATAAATTTATCTTTAAAGAGCAACCAAAAATATATATTGTCAAAGTTAAATAGGGAAGAATCGAAAATACTATTTTAATCATCAGATACTACTTTGATAAACTCTTTGACTTCATCATCAGGTCTCACAACCATAGTTGTGCCTTTATAACATACTTATCATATTCAGTAATTGATGATAGTGGCTTTTACATTTGGCAGATCTTGTACTTATAGATTTGCTGTCGATGGTTTCTGGGGTATGTTAGCTTGCGTTACAAAAGCTGACGAAGAACCCGTAATCCCGTGGGGGGTATTAAAAGGTGTATATTTAAAAAAATTGCTTTGGTAGTCCAAGCAACAGGTCTCTTTGTTCAAAAATAACATTTTATCAGTTGGAATCAGTTATCCTAATAAATTTATGTGTGAAAGTTATACTTCACCACAATCTCCTTATTGGTCCCTTAGGGCATTTGTATCCTTACTTTTACCAGAATTTCATCCTTTCTGGAGCTCCAAGGAAGAGCCATTGATATTGGATAGGGCTTCTCTTGAAGTTTCGGGAATGTTAATTTCACATAACAAGAGTAATACTGTCGCGTTAGTCAGTGGGCCATATCTGACATTTTTAAGACATCATGCTGAAAAGTATAGTAAGTTCACTTACAGCTCACACTATGGATTCAATGGGGAAAATAATTTGAAAGAGTTTTCGAGTGCCTCACTTGATAATATGATAGGTCTTAGTTATACTGGAAGGGACTTCTATTTCAGACACTCAAGTAAATCTTGGATTTTTAAAGGTGACCTCTACTCTGAATGGTCACCCAATGGGGCCGATAAGATTGAAGTGAAACTTTGGATTATTCAAAAAGAGGATTATCATATAAGAATCCACCACGTATACCAATGGACGGAAAATATAAATCTCCCAAGTGAAGCCGATTTAGAGAGGTTGAAGTCAAATGCAGTGCGAGAAAAATGTAACGTTCCTTCTTAGAGCGACGAAATAATGAAACTGCAAATGTTAAAATTGATGTCAAAATTCCAAGATAATTAGGATAGATACTTAATTGTGAATAATAATATTTAGTATTATTTTACATATTTGAAATTCAATTCTTTCTGCAATTTTTGTAGATCGAAAAAGAACTCTTCACAATAATATATGTTATTTTATTATTTTTTTTACTATATTCTAAAATTTTACTGATAAGCATCGTGTCCTTCAAAGTATAAGTAATCGAGTATTAAATAAGAAGCAATTAAAATTGCTTTTAGTGATTAAAGTGAATTTGGTTTTTTTTACCCTCATTTGGTATTTTGAGAATATACTTGGGATTATTGGATATCTCTTACCTTACAAACAAGTCCAAGGTTCTATAAATATAGTATATATTTATCGAGGATAAATGGGTATAGTGTTCCTTTAGATATGGTTAATGTTATGATTATGATATTAAACTATTTATAAAGTCCAAGTTCTAATAACTTGTTTCCAATCATTAAGAAATAATAGTCAGCATAAACCAAACCATGATCAAATATTTTCCACTCTTCGACTACATCAGGATTATTAATAAATGTAGATTTGCCTAAAATTGTATCAGTTTGTCCAAGGTCTACAGTACCATCATTGTTCAAAGTAGCCTTTTTGTTATAAGCAAGTTTGATACAGTCATTCACAAGTTTTAAAGCATAGTTTAATATTTCTTCATCTTTAGTACATTCATAAATTTTGAGCATACCAAATGCTGCAGCCATACCAGACGAAACATCACGAATATGTTTGTCAGGTGCATCGAAATCCCATGGTGGAACACCATCTTCTGGCAACATTGACAAGTAGTATTTGGTAATATTCAATGCAGCATCTAAAAATTTTTTATCCTTTGTGTACATGTAGGTTTCTACGTAACCTAATATACCCCATGCCTGGCCCCTAGTCCAAGCCGATTCATCAGCGTAACCTTGGAACGTAAACTTATCCTTAGCTTTACCTGTTTCTCTATCGTACATCACAACATGATAAGATGACCAGTCATCTCTGAAGTGATTTTTCAAGGTGGTTTCAGCATGTGTAGTTGCAATATCTGCTAAACGGGAATCACCACTCAACTCCGCTCCCAAATACAAAAGATTTAAGTTGCACATATTGTCAATGATAACGACTAAATCTTTATCAAAATTTGATGTTCTACTGCCTTCTCCCTTGATTGGAAAGAGCTCATCCCAACTTCTAATACAACCAACCTTTTCATCGAATCTAGAAGCTAGAGAGTTTGCTCCCTTAATTAAAACTTCCTTGGATTTTTCACTTTCGCTACGCAAATATTCAGTTTCGAAAGAAGGAACAAGCATAAAACCCAAATCGTGGTTATCAGTTTTGTTTTTATGTTTGACCATACCTTCGGCCCACCATTTTGCTGCATATTCCAACTTAACTGGATTGATTTTCTGGCTTGGGAAATACTCTGGGTACTTTTCGTTTCTGGCTAATAAAGTGTAAAGAGAACCTGGAAAAAATCCCGAAGTCCAAAAATCGGAATCCCTACAAGTGTACCTGTTTCCTTTAGAATAATCTGGGAATTCAGATGGTGGTTGGGGTTCACTTAATGCAGGAGTTGCAACACCCCATATTTTTGCAACGGTAGCATCACCGTATAAATAATCTTTGATTTCTTCTAAGTAAGCGTCTCTAGTCATATTTTTTTTATCTGATTAATTGATAATTAGTATATTTAATTCCGTATGGAGAGGGTTTTGGTTCCTTATAAACCAATTAATCTATGGGGTAGGTGGGGGAGGGGGAGATATTTTATTTAATAAAGATAGTGGGGGAGTGGAGGGATTACTCGCTGCGCTTTTCGTGTTTGCAATATAAATGGTTTGCGGATTTTCGCTCTAATGAAAGAGGGTGAATTCGACTGAAATGAGTGCTTTTATTAGTAGACTTAGGGATAGTATGGTATAACAAGAGATTAATTTACTTACTCAATATTAAGAATATCTTATTTTAATTTCCAAATAGGCTATGACACTATAAGTACAAATAATGTAGCGGTTCATTTGTTTAGTACATGAAAGATAATTTTTCCTTTTTTTTTTGAGATTTGATTGATAGAGTATACATCATTTTAGAATCTTAAACATTAGAATTAACATCTAGTACGATATTTTTTTTTTATTTCTAGTGCAAATTTCATCTACTCCTTTTAGGAATCAAGATAAAACTATCTTAGTTAGAATGTTCTGTAACTTATTATAAAAAGCAAATTGATGAAATTTGAATTTGTAGGAAAAATGTTTGCAACAATTTCTAAATAGAGGATGGGGGTACACAAAAGAAAGATGACTTATTTTCACACTAAAAATTTCATTTATTGGGTTTTTAATAGAAGAACTGTTTGGCGGCTTTCCTTCGTTATTGATGTTAATTCTTCTAAATTTATTCCAAATATTTGAAAATTTTTCTTATTGCTTCTAAAGAACAATTTCTTTCCCGTTGGTGTGTAGTGGAATCTAATCCGTTCGAACATAATATACGTGGTTACTTCAAAATATTTGTAATAAAAGTGATTTTATATTATAATACACAGTCAATTTTCACATCTTATCTTGAGGGTAAGATACACCACCTTGTTTGGGCATATCATCCATAGTCTCCAAAACCAAAATTGATTCATCCCACAGAATTAATTCGTTTTGGATTTTACCCTTCTCAATATCAAGTGCAATAGCATCTGCCTCGTAATATAGACCCCATCCATGAAATCCCATTGCAGGAAATGCTTTTTGATAGACTTTTTCTCTTCATCTTTAAACTCAATCTTATAACTTGTAGGTATAGATCCACTGCCGCTGATAGTAAGACAACCAAATTCACATTATAATCTAAAAAAAGATTCTGCACTCTGATTATATAGTAACTAGTCGCTATGGAATGCCTTCCATTAGAATATTTGAAAATAGCACTGCTGATATAATCAATATCATTAAAAAACTGTCTGAAAGCATTTTACTTCAAATGGCGTATGATTATCACCTAAATAATTGTCCAAGAAGAATCTGGCACAAGTTATTGAGTAGATAACCCCACCTTAATGTAGGCATTGAAATTACCATTTTTCTAGACAACTCAGATATCTTCTTGTTTAATGCTATCTGAGAAAAAATAACTTCCATTAATAATCTAGCAGGATTGAGCTGTTTATATAGTCGTTTCGTAATATCTTATTTAAGAAACCGGGCGGAAAATTCATTTCCAATTTCAACTCTTTGTTTTATTCGTTTGTTGAGTGCGGTAAATACTTATCCACAATTTTTGCTCAGACAAAATTATCGCACGCTTGCATCATGTCATAAATTAGATAGTATTAAATTGGGTTGATCACGAAAATAACAACCATTACTTTGCATAGTGGAAATTGGAGAGAATTTTATTGCTAAAAGCAAATTAATCAGAAAAAAAGGAATGATAAACTACCTAAACCATTTTGATGCAATTATTATTATGTTGCAAGTTGCCAAACGCGGGAGCTCCCAAATCCTCAGATTTGTGTAAGATTCTCTATGTTGTTCCCCCTAAATTCGTCATTAGAACGAGTTTTCGCGGACAAGCTAAAAAGTACACAACTGAGTCCCAGTTAATTAATAAATAGACAACATTATGAATATAATTATTTTCTAATGAGAAAAAAGTAAGTAGGTGACATTATATTTTTGTGTTGAATAATATGTGTGGATCCATTTGGTAGCTATCCTCTAAATGTTTTCTCTGTAGGACACTCATTTAAGGCAAAAGGAAAATGCTTAACTTAGTTCAATGTTTAGATTATTTACATTCTCTATATAATGCATTATATTCAGATAATTAAATTCCTGAAATTCGTATTTTCATATTATAATGTTAATTGAATCTGTGCTACTCTATATAAAGTCCGCCATTAACGTGTAAGTGAACTCCATTTATCCAACAAGCTTTATCATCAGCAAGAGACGCAACAGCATAAGCTATTTCAGCAGGATTTCCCATTCTAGCAGCCACTGGTGTTTTATCGATAGTTGGCTGTAATACCATCATTGCTTCTTCTCCGGCTGCCTCAAAACCTTTAGTTTTCGTTGGTCCCGGCGAGACCGAATTTACAGTACAACCATACTCTTTGGGCAATTCTTTTGCCCAAACTTTGGTAAAAGAATCAACCATACCTTTAGTTCCTGCGTAAATGCTTTGCAAAGGAGGTGAACCCCTTGAAGAAGCTGAACAAATATTAACTATCCTTGAAGGGTTTGCTAAATGTGGCAAAGCATTTTGTGTGAGTAAGAATGTTCCTCTTCCATTTAGATTAACCAATATGTCCCAATCCTTCAAATTATGATCCCTGAGTGGTTTATTGATTGCTAACGCTGCATTGTTAACCAAGATATGAATTTTTCCAAATTTGGAGACTGTCTGTTCAATTAAGTTTTTAGGGCCATCAATAGTGCCAATATCTGCTTCTACGATTATCCCTTCAATTCCATTAGTTTCACGTAAGATACTAGTTAAAGTATTTTGGGCTTCTTCTTTGAATTGTGGATAGGGATAGTTAATAACTATATTAGCACCCCTGATTGCTAATTCCAAAGCAATTGCTGCTCCAATTCCACTAGAAGAGCCTGAGATAATTGCAGTTTTCCCCTTCAAAGGCTTAAAAATATCAATTGACTTCATTGAAATTACTTGATAATTTATGTACGCAATTTAGTGTTTATTTTTATAGCCGGATAATGCAAAATGTTTTCTCTCTACACTAAATCAAATTATATGATGACAATAGTTCTTTTATATTCATTCCCCACATTAAGATTCACTAGATACGACTTTCAAATTACCCCACCGGAAGACACTTGCAAATATTTGAAATAATTCTTAAACAATGTTCTATGAAATTTTCAGCTAGTGGGTATTTGAATTTAATTTACATAGGTTTTTGATTTGACCCAACATAACTTGTAATCTCACCTATAGTACTTTAAATACTCAAGCTAAAGGAGTTTACATATATAATACACCCTTAATTGTTTCGGCAAGCGTGTCCTTTCCAAAATTCGAAAATCTCCACAAACCCCACACCTCTCTTCCAAACTCTGACAAGTCATAACATTTGCTTAAGACCATATAAGTAATTATAAGGAAATAGAGCGGTTACATTGGATATGGCCATAAAGTCTAATAAAAGTTTTTACTGTTCTATATGCAAAGCAAACTTCACTAGAAAGGAACATTTGGATCGCCACCTTAGATCACATAATGATGAAAAGCCTTTTGTATGCTCCAACTGTGGCAAAGGTTTCGGACGGAAAGACTTACTAACAAGGCACAACAAATGTGGTTCTTGTCTGAAGAGTAGTCAGCAAATACCTTCATCTATTAAGAACGGATTACAAACACCGAAAAAAGTCCAGCGGTGCCAGTCGGCATGCCAAGCATGTATAAATTCGAAATGTAGGTGTGTTAAGTCAAATGATGATATCGACTCTTGTGATAGATGTACAAAGCGAAACATACTCTGTGTTTCAAGAAAAGTTAAGAAGTCAAATTCTCAAAATAAAACTGAAGTTCCACTCTCTGAAGCCGCCGATGAAGATAATCAGGACAAAGATTTTGAATACGTAGCAGGAGCCGAGACTCTATTAAAATTGTCAAACTCAAGAAGCATTCCAAATAAAGCACTGGTTATAAAGGATGCAAATTTCACACAAGCAACAAAAAGCATCAATTTAACATATCCATCTAACCCTGCGAACTCGATTATGGGTAACGGGTCAGGAAATATTAAGAAAATACTGGAAACTTCGCCACTATGTATTAACGCTATTCTTTCTCCTGCAGAAACTTTCTTTGAAAATAGCAATATTACTTCAGAACAACTGGAACGTCAAAATACATTCATGAACAACCCAACTTCTAGAATTACTAGCATATTTTCAATATCCCCGGGGGCTGACAAATCTTCTTTGGGATCGAGCATAAATCAAAATAAGCTGATGGAAAATTCTAATACTTCTAACAAGCAAGATGACGATCTATTTTCAGAAGAGACTACTATTACTAAAGATGCGATATTTCCAAACGGTTCCAATTTTCTCGAACATTCATATGATCAGACAGCGAATGCGAATTTGCCTGAATGTAATGAACAAGAGCATTCAAAAATACAAAAAGCACCAGCTGGTATTGATGAAGAAACTACTGCAAATGAAAAAAATAGTAATAAAGCGGATCAAAGCGAACAACAGGAAGATATTAATGCATCTAATATCACGCAAGCCTTTTCTTATTACGGGAATGAACAAACTGATCATGTATCAGATACTTCCCCTGGCTTAGATTTAATTAACAAATTTGATTTCAATGGTGTGCTGAATTCAATTCGAGACATATTGCAAGCAGTGGATGATAAAGGTGACTCTTTTTCAGATATTTTAGACAACTGGATTTATGAGCAAAAAGTGAATAACGGTGATGATACTAATTTAGAGATGTTTTTTAATTATGATGACCTTGAATTTAGTATTCCAGATAACATTTTTCTTTCCAATGGGAATGATAAAAACGATTATATTGATAATAATGGCGGGTCTTCTAAGAGTCCTTATAACTTAGGTGATAACGAAAGGAGAGAGGCAAGGGGCTCAGTGTTTTCTGATTCATCAATAATTTGGAAATCTCCGCGACATGATAGCTCTTCGAAAGATGTAAGGCCATTTACAGATAGGAGAGATAAGATTCTCGATTATTCCAGTGTTACGATAGATCAAAGCTCAGATTTATTCAAAAGATTTGAAATCCTTCCCGAAACAAGAGATGCCATATTAATTATGTTAAGTGAAACTCATCAGATGCAATTTTGGAGGGATGGTGCCATTGTACATCTTCCTTCGGTTGATAAGTTAACGGTACTCATAATTAATTATTTTCAATATTTTCAGACCCGCTACCAGATTATACACATGCCAAGTTTCAATCCCAATTCAATCCCAATAGTTTTGTTGATAACAATCTTAGGCACTGGATCTTTTTTTTGTGGAATAGAAAATGAAACTATGAAAAAAACAGGGAGATATTTACTAGAGATATCCCGAAGAAGACTCATACTTGAATTTGAAGAGAATAATTCCAAAATTCGCCACATTGAGCTTCATCAAGCTAGCTTGATAAATTACATTTGTGGATCTTGGTCGGGAATTGATAGAAATGTAGAAATTGCTGCGAGTTTTACATCAACAATTGTAACAATGATCAGGAGAGGTGAATTATTCAAAAGATATACATACAAGACTCTTCAATCTATTGTAGAGGATCCAAAACATTCCACTGTTGAAACAAAATGGCAGGCTTGGATTGAAATGGAATCTAAAAAGATGTTAGTCTTTGTAATGTTTTTTTGGAGTGCTCAGTTTTCGTTATTAAGTAATAATCCATACTATATTACATATGCTGAGTTAGAACTCCCATTGCCTCATTTAGAATCGTTGTGGAAGGCTTCAACTGCAGATGAGTGGTTCAAGGTAGTGAAGATCATAAAGAATAAGAATTCGCAACATTATTCTCAAAATATGTCATTCCAACTGTTAATCGGCTCTGTTTTGTCCTCTATTTACTCTCCTGCTAAGAGTGTTTCACCAAAGTACATTCCTGATATTATTATTGGAAGTTTAATTTCAACAGTGAAACATTTCATTTCAGAAATTAATGACAGACTGAGTTTCACGAATTGCATTCCAGGAATGACTGATAACAAGAAGAGGAAAAGGCACCTGTTATCACTAGATGCCACATTTCATCTTTCCTATTTAACAAATAGAAAAGCCGAGATTGAAACCATGTTAGAAAGTTTAGAAAGTTTTATCTCAAATAATTCTTATAATGACAAGGTTGTATTTAAACTTGAGATTGAATATTCTTTTATTTGCCTTCATTCTTGCGTTAAAGATTGCATGAAATTTGCCGGCGTTGATGGTGAATACGAATCAAGACAAACTCTACCTCGGTTAATTCAATGGTTTAAACGGGATTCTGCAAGAATTACAAGTTGGCACTGTGCCCAGATTTTGAGACTTGCTAATTCTGCTATAACTAAAAAGATTTGTAAGTAATTTAATAACTAACTACAAGAACTTCACTAACATTTATTATAGTTATTCCATATCTTCCTCTTTTGATTTTTCACTCAACTTTAATTCTTTGGACTTATAGTCTATTACTTAATATTACTAGCAAGTTTGATCAGAAAAGAATTATTACTCCTTCGGAAATTAACCTTGATACCCCAATTGTTCTATTAAACGAAGATTGGTCTTCTGCAACCGATAGATTTGTTGAGGCAAACGATATTATTCCATGTTTAAGAGCAAAGAACCCTAATGAAAGTATTTTGGCCAACGAAATCAGTAGAGAACTTATACTCTTGAGTATACCTGAAGATATAATTGATTTCTCTATTAAAATTAATAATAGGGCATCATGCTGTGGTTTATTATCTAGTGATATAAGTAAAGTTCTCAAGAGCCTCAGAGATTGTTCTAAGGAGATAATATCCATTTAATACTACTATACTTAATAGTATATATAATTCTTACAAATTTCTAAGATTTATCAGTATAATATATTGCATTTATAATAAAACTAGCTATTCATTTCTTGGAACCCCATTTACACCACCAAGGTCTTCTCTTAATGCCTTTCCATCTACTTCAAGCGGCTTAGACGATATCAAGATATAAATCATTCTCGCATAATCTGTTGCACTAGTATTTCTCCAAGCATGCATAGTACCTCGTTGAACAAAAATATCATCTTTATTCAATAATACGGAATCTCCTGAGTCCATTATTGCTTCAACTTGACCTTGCAAAACGATTCCATAATCAATCGAAGTAGTGCGATGCATTGGGGAAGTAGAGCCTGGGGCCATATCCACCACCCTCATAACAGACCCGCCAGGAATAGTAATTGAAACGCCATTTTGCAAGCTTTTCTTATAGAAATTGATATCATTACTTTCACTAATGTCGATAGGAAATCCCTTTGTTGCATACACTAAACTAAATTGGCCAGAGTGCTCATTAGAATCATTGCTGACATCAGTCCATTTAATATCGGGATCAATTAACTCATTGATAATTGAACGACCTTGATTATCAAAACCAGAGATATATCTTTTAGGAGGAGCAAGATTATGAGATTTATGTTCGACAAATTTCATCATTTTAATCTGTATACATCTACTTTTTAATCGAATATGTAATCTGGGTTATTTATATAAATATATTAATATAGCAGCCGACTAGGTCTATTGTGTATAGTGGTTTCACCCGATGTGGGGAGTATGTGGCGAATCAGTCTTGCAAATTTCTTAAGGAAAATAGAACTATATAATAATCTCTAGTGCTTTTGTTTCACTCAATTTACTCTTAAATTTCTCGAAAGGAACAAAAAAAAAAACTTAATCATTAGCAAAATGATATCTCAAAACAAGTCGGAAACTATGAAAGCTGTCGTATTCTTTGGTGCCCATGATATTAGAGTCATTGAAAAACCTCTCCCAACAATAGAAAAGAGCACAGATGCTGTCATAAAAATCCAATCAGCTGCCCTATGTGGATCAGAGCTTCATACCTACCGTGGTGCAATTGTTCCCCCATCAACTGGACATATTATGGGTCACGAGTTTACAGGCGTTGTCGCAGAAGTGGGAGCAGATATCAAAGGGTTTAAGGTAGGTGACGAGGTGGTCTCGATTTTTACAACTCAATGTGGCGAATGCTGGTATTGCACCCATGGCTGCTCGAGTAAATGCTCGCAAGCCTTTGTCTTTGGAACCCCAGGTCACGACGGTGGACAAGCTGAGTATTGCAGAATTCCCCTAGCAGATACAACTTTAAAACACAAGCCTACCGGTATTGACGATTCTATCCTTGTATTATTGGCAGACATATTTCCAACAGGATACTTTGGTGTTAAAAATCTATTGGAAAAGATTCCAACAGAGTATATACCCGAGTCGGTAATATTGCAGTTAGGTTGTGGACCAGTAGGACTTTGCGCTATTGCTTCAGCAAAAGCGAAGGGTATAAAATATTTATATGCTGTCGATACGGTTCCTGAACGCCTTAAGTTAGCTGAAAAGTTCGGAGCTATTCCTTTAAATTTGAAAACAGATGATATCGAAGGAATTATCAAGAAGGCCACTAATGGCAGGGGAGCAGACGGAATTTTGGAAGTAGTTGGAAGTGTTGATGCACTTAAATTAGGCTTCAAAATTGTTAGATCTGGAGGTATTATTAGTTCAATTGGCTATCAACATGGGGAAATGCCTTTTTCAGGTCTTGATTGTTATCTCAAAAATGTCACTCTTCAGTTTGGCAGATGCCCATGTTATTCTTTGTATGATGAAGCAGTTGAAACTTTGAAGAAAGTTTCCCATTTATTTAAAGACTTTGTAGATTTGGAGTTGCCACTTGAAAATGCTCCTAGAGGTTATGAATTATTTGAAAAACATGGTGCTAGGAAGATTATCTTCAAGCCATGAGTCTCAGATAGCTAAATATAATACAAGAATAAACTTATAGTCAAATATAAACTCCAATTGTAATATTTTTATCTGTAGAAGATTAGTCTATTTCATTTCCTACCCATTCTAATTAGACCTACCTACCAGTATTAACTACTAAGATTGAACACTAGCATAACCTACTCGTTATCACGTGACCATATATAGTTACCCCAGATAGTCATTTCTGTCAGGATATTACTTTGAGAAGATTAAAATGTGGTGGTGGGGTCTAGGGATTATATCTCTATCCGAGTGGGGAAATATATTCTTTACATTTGGCATATAAGATCTAAAGCATTCCTATGTATATTTGCTATAAGGTTAAATTATAATTCCTTACTGAGTTTTTTAGAAGTTAATAACGATTAAAGATGGCAATAGAAAGGAAACCATTGAAAGTTTTAATATGTGGAGCTGGAATAGGTGGATTAGCTGCCGCTATTTCCTTCCGCCGACAAGGACATGAAGTTGAATTGTTTGAACAATCGAGGTTTGCTAATGAAATTGGAGCAGCAATTCATTTACCTCCCAATGCTTATGGAATGTTGCAACACATCGCTGTACCAACAGATAACTTGGGAGGGAATTCAGCCAATTATATTACAGAGCTTGATAAAAATGGGAATATTCAAATGCATGTACCCACTGAAGAATCATTGCGTGAATATATATATCCCTGGAAATTAGTACATCGTGCTGATCTTCATACAGCATTAAAGTTAAAGTCTCTTTCGGAATCTGATAAAGGCAAACCTGTCAATATTCATCTATCAAGTAAAGTTATCAAGATAGATCAAGAGAAGGGCGAAGTTGTTCTTAAATCAGGGGAAATTTTTAAAGGAGATATTGTTGTTGGTGCCGATGGTATTCATTCCGAAGTCCGCTCAATTGTCACAGGTACAAATATTCCTGCTACGCCTTCTGGATATTGCGCATTTAGATTTTTGATTCCAAGAAGTACTGTTTTAGAAGTCCCTGAATTCAAAAAGTATGCTGAAAAAAATGGGGAAATACAAATTTGGTTGGGAGAAGATAGAAGGATTGTTATATATCCATGCCGTGACAACACTCTTCTTAATTTTGTTTGTATTCATCCTGATTCAGAAACGTCTGGCTCCTCAGATAGTTGGAATGACGGTGGTTCAAAAGAAGATTTGATTTCTTGCTATAAAGATTTCTACCCCCCACTTATTGATGTCTTGAAGAAGGCCACAGATATAAAACTTTGGAAGTTACTAGACAGACAGACTTTAAAAAAGTGGACAAATGGTAGGGCGGCGTTACTTGGTGATGCTGCACATTCATTTCTTCCTCACCTAGGCCAAGGTGGTGCTCAAGCTATTGAAGATGGCGTAGCTCTAGGAACTATGTTTCCGTTGGGAATAACTAGAGACGAAGTTCCAGAACATTTAGAAATATATGAAAAAGCAAGATATGAAAGGGCAACAACAATTCAGCAACTTACTAGGGACCAAGCACTTGGACCTAAAGAAGGTAAACTATTGAATCCAACACAATTTTCACACTATAATTGGAGTCATGATGCTTACTTCCATGCATCAAAACTACTTTCAAGGCATCTTGAAAGTAAGATATACAAGAGAATGCCGATAGGTTGGGGCCCTTTACAAGGACCAAGGCAAGATCATCTCGGGAAACCAATTGATGGCAGTGGGTCATTCTTGAGAACGGGTGCAATCCGAATTAAGACTTCGAAATCTTACTTAGAGCATTTACTTCCTAATGAAAAATTTCATATTGATGTCCCTGGTGAAGTTGGTTATATAACTTTCAGCAATACCTGGATTGACAATATTGAGTGGCTAGGAGGCCATGACTATTCTCATTTTGATTTCTATATAGAAGATGTAGTTTACACAAGCAATAAGGGAAATAAAACCAAAGGTAGATTTTTACCATTATTGTTAGAAGGAAGAACTGAACCAACACTTAGTGGAAGAGAAGAGCTTGGGTTCTCTAAGATTTTCACTACTCTTACAGAAAGCTTTGATGATATAAATGGGTATAAGCTTCGGGCGTCCTGGGAGGGGTCTACTTTCTTAGAAATGAATATTAAAAAGCCAGCAAGAGTTAAAGCTTCGTCTAAAATAACAGAAAAGGCAGAAGCAACTATGGAGTGGAGATGTTTCCCTAGGCCAGGAGGGAAGGGAACGACTGATATTGAATATGCCACATATACACCTGAACCTGTAGGTGGGGCTCAATTCGTATTGGAAGAGATGCTTGAGGGAACCCCAGAAATTATCTTCCATATGGAGAATATCACCCCTGAAAAACTACCTTGTCACTATAATGTGGCAAGGAAGTTGAGCGATATTCCGATAGTCGAGCTACAAACTGGAAAGGTAATCATTGGATCAGGTCTTTCAGATGTTTCAAATCAAACTGTATTAGAAATATAATGTCAGTTTTCCACTCAATTCATTAGAATATAATATGAATTTCGAGTTCTTACTTACGAAATTTTTCAAGCTGAAATAAATCACATATTTTAACGTGATAACTACAAGTATTTGTATTGTTTTTAGCGATGAGGTACTATTTCTTTACTATGATTAAAAGTCTTTTTATTTTCACGTTTGTTATCATCTCATTATAATAGAAAAAGTAGCTCATGTAGATAAATTCATAAGTAAATATAGTCTTATCAAATAAGAATTTTTTGCTAGTGGTAGTAACTGATATTGGTTTGGAATTTCAATAATTCCATATATCAAGGGAAGATACTACCTCCCGTGTATCTTAATTAAGTAGTATCAATTCATAATATACATGTATCTTAATTCGAATATATTGCGTGACTTATGAACTGCTGAGAGACAGTATTTGAATCACACTCCGCATTCAAATATATGATATCGATAGGGAATTTTCGGAATGTGGGGCATGGTTATTTTGGAGAAAATTTTATCTCAGTAGATCTCAGGAGCCAACCCCTCATTTTCAACAAAATTACTGGAAATATGGGGAACCATATTTGACAACTTAAATGCTATATCAGAGTAGCAGATTTCTGAGAATAATGATATTAGATTATTATACTTAACATTTCTAACATGTCTGTTTCATCACTAAATATTGCCAGCTTTGAACAACCCGAGGCCTTGGAATCTAGAATTTCCAATATACCTAGAACCAGAAAAGAATCATTAGGAAGTATTCAACTTTATCACCCAGAAACCAAAAAGCGTATCTTTATTCCAGAGCCAAGTGTACATCCAGACGACCCGCTCACCTGGACTCAACTACATAAATTTTATATTACTTTATTGGTCTCATATGCCATAATGCTTTCCAATTTCCTTGCAGGTGGGCCTTCAATTGGAATTGTGCAAATGGCCATGGATTTTGGGGAAAATGCAGAAGGTCCTGATTATGATTTAACTCATTGGGTTTCCAAGGTTGCTTATTGTTTTACAGCTACTGCGCTTCTTCAAGGGACTTCGAATTTTTTTTGGGTTCCATTAATGACAAAGTATGGAAAACGTCCTGTGTATTTAGCTACTGCATTGGGATATTTTGTTTTCGCTCTTGCTTGTGGTTTCGCTTCTAATTGGGAATCATATTTAGCTTTTAGAACTCTTCTTGGTTTTTTTTCGGGAGGCAATGAAGTTTTGGGACCATTAACTATATCTGATGTCTTTTATACACATCAAAGAGGTACACAAATGGCAATTTATACCTGTGCATTATCATTGGGTATTGCTTTAGGAATGATCGTTTCTGGATTGATTCTTATTAACTACGACTGGAGATATATATACTATATTGGATCTGCTTTAATTGGTTCATGCGCTGTGTTAATATTCTTTACATTGCCAGAGACCTCCTTTGAAAGAGACCCTAAACTTTTAGTTTCTTTTATCGAGGCTAAAAAGGCGACTGAAAAACACATAGATGAAAAGACATCAGTAGCGATGGTGGAAGAAAATTCTAGCTTTGAATCAAGTATTGATCTTGATGTTCCACAAAAAACTTCATACTTGTCCTCTCTTAAAATATTTAAAAAAAGAACCTACACTGAAGAGTCTTTATGGCAAATTTTCATTCGTCCTATTGGATTAATAATATTACCTGGAGTTCTTTGGGCCTCCTTGATCATGTCGGCAACGATTGGTTTCCTTGTAGCGGTCAGTACAAATGTCGCAAATGCTTTTCAGCAGACTTATAATTTTGAACCTTGGGAATGTGGATTATGTTTTATTGGTGCATTTATTGGGTCTCTTCTTGGTATATTTGCTGGCGGAACCATTGTTGATTGGTGGGTTGATTTTATGGCAAAACGTAATAATGGTATCAAGGAGCCTGAAATGAGGTTACCTCCAATTATTTTGGGTGGAATCTTGACCCCGGTTGCTTTAGTACTATATGGAGTAGGTATTGAAAAATCACTTCATTGGATAGTCCCTACATTGGGACTCAGTCTTCTTAATTTTTCTTTAACCCAAGCAACTAATATATCTTTAGTTTATACAATTGATTGTTACAGACCCATTGTGGGAGAAATTACTGTTACGCAATTGGCATTCAAGTCTTTATTTGGTTTTATGCTCAGCTTCTACACTAATCCGTGGGTCGATAATTTTGGCTATGCAAAAGCGTACGGTGAGATGGCAGCGATTGCTGGTATATTATTTGTGCTAAGCATCCCTATATATATATGGGGTAAAAAGATGAGAGAGACCACACATAATTGGAGAATCCTTAAATTTATTAAGTGGAAAGATGATCGTGAAGTTGGAGAATAATATAAAGCACTGTATTTTTTATTTTCCTTGATTTTTAGTTTATTTCTTGATCAGACTTGTATTAGTAGTTAAGAAATTTTAATTGTGATCGATAAAGCGACCCAATAAAATATTACATTATTATAATTCTCGAAACCAATGAACCTGTAGCGTTATTCCTCTATTACAAGATATTTAGCATTATTATACGATATGTAAATTAACTATAATTATTACAAAGACTGTATCAAATTCATCCAATTCTTCAATTATTACACTGCTGTCACAGTTGATGAAAGGAAATCTTGCAAGGTTTATTAATTATATAGGTCATATTTATAGCTTTATTTGATTAAGAGTAACAAGAATAGAAAGTGATTTATTTCTCTGGGATTATAGGAAGTATTACGTAGTTTTCGTAGGTAGAATCAAAATGGATTCTATTGGTTCTACCTAATTTCTTTTCATTTCTATCTTGGGGATGATTGTGTTGAAAACGATCACAACCCTGGGTATCCCCACCAGAAACTTCGAAAACGAGTTTATCACCTACTTCGAGAACAACATTGGTCGGCCAAATTTCGACAATAACAGTATAGACGTTTTCTGGTTTAACCTCAAGCGAATCTGCACTTGCATATGTCCTGTATGGAAGATATGGTCTATTCCAGGGGTGACTTTCTTGGATTTTTCTATGAGAAACTCGTAAATAACCTTTACAAAGAGGAACAGGATCCCCTGCAGTTCCTGTGTATAAAATCTCTTTACTGTCCTTATCAAGATGACGCAATGTGACAAATATGTCGATATCCGATGGGGACACATCTTCGTCATCAACAGAAATATTTAGTTGAGAAGTAATGTGCCCAGTAATCTCTACTTCTTTTTCAAATGGTTGAGTAATAAATTGAATAGCATCCGGACTCTCAAGAGTACTCAATGTTTTGTAACTCATGGAAGTTGTTTCTACCTTACCACTTTGGTTTGGGCTAAGAGACCTATCGGAAGCCAAGTAATATTTAGTATATTGAGTTCTAGATATCGGCCATTCATTTTCAATTCTAGTAGAAAACTTTTTTTCTCCAGTTGGGTTATTATATCCTACATTACCTTTTCTCAAAAGAATTTCGACTTTGGGCATTTTTCCGGTTGACCAGCCATCTCTGTCTTCTCCTTTTAGAAAAGCATCGAGAAAAGATTTCTGCATTGCAACATTCTCTTTGTAATAAAATGGCAAATCATGTCTTCCAACAATAGTCCTGAGGTATTTATTTCGGGAGCCAGCATGATTGTAACCTTCAATATTTCCTCTGAGATGAAGCATAATACCTCCCCAGTTAGCCACGCTAAGAAGAGGGACTTCTATATCTTCAAGATTAAATTCTTTCAGCTTATAATAATCATCATCCAGATATATGTGATTCGCTGTATCAATCGTCTGATCCCGACGATTAGCAATTAATTCTTCTTCGTCGAGATCACCTTCAATCGTGTCTTCACCCCAATCTCTCGCATTCCTTCCTGGTAAGCCGTATTGATTGCTGAGAACCTGCCTGTTCCACCAAAATGAAATAAATCCATTAGAAAGGATACCACCATGTCTAACTCGATCCCTATAGTAGTCTGACATACCTTCCCAAGGAATTATCGCTTTTAGTCCTTTCGGGCGTCTGGCTGCTACCCGCCATTGACTTCCACCAAAGTAACTGATACCCAAAAGTCCTACGTTACCTGAACTCCATGATTGTTCTGCAGCCCATTCAATTACATCATAAAAAGCTTCACTCGTACCTCGGGACATTGTATCTAATATCCCAGGGGATTGTCCACTTCCCCTTTCGTCCACTCTAATGATTACATATCCCTGTTTTGTCCAATAAGTGGGAGAAGGAACTTCCCAAGCCGCATGGTCCGAATATTGTTCATTATCTACTTCTTTGTAAGAGTTTGGATGAAAATCTTTATAATGGATATCTTTCCCATATGGACCATAAGTAATCAAGACAGGAAATCTCTCTGAGCTCTTTGGCCTATATACGTTAGCCCTAACAATATTACCACCCGTTATATCAGTCTTCAATGGAATATCTATATTCTTTTGAAAGATATATGGGAATGATTCGAAGTCATTAGTTTGAATTTTTTTAATAATATTGGGCATGTTAGTTTTCTTATTGAAGTATTATAATTTCATTAAAGAATAAATAGGATCTATTTATACAATACATTTTGAATAATAAGAGCGGTAATCAATCCGATGTGGCGAAATGGATCACAATTATTATTATTAAGTAGGATTAAAACACGATAATACATCCTAGCAGAATGCTAAGACTACATATACATATATTTAATAATTAAGCTACTCGAAATCTAAATTTATAGTGTAGGTTTATTTGATAAATTGATATCCATATATATATATTCCATATATAAAGTGAATAACTTAATTAAATTGGATCCTCAACGCTTACTTGGTATCTAAACCAATTTTCGTTTATTTTTCCGCCTGTAATTCTCCATATCCTATTAGCTGACTAGTTTAGGTTAATATATCAATTAAAATTAATGAAAGGTTATCAAAATTACTCACATACATACATAAGGGAGACGCCCTTAAACATAACATAAATAAATGTGTTGAAAACAAAACCAGTTGCATTATTTGGCCTCAGACTTATATCAACAACGCCAGATATTGGATTCGGTGGATTACCTCTCCCATAGTTCCAATCTTCAACATTGGCTGCCTCCATTCTATTTGGATCATGGGGTAGTCCATAATCTTGTGCAAACACGAACATTTCCGAGTCCTTATGAGGTTTGTTCTTTACCTGCGACATATTTGTAGTTTAAAATGATTGTAAAACTCGTGTAATTGCTTAATACTTAGTTATCAATTAGTAAATTGAAGAATTATGTGGCCTTTTATTCTCATTGCGTACCGGAACATGTGGGGAAAGTTTATTCTAAATTGTCAGCTCCATTTTTTTCATCAATCATACTCACTTTAGAAATGAACTAAACCAATATGATTTCATATGTAATGCAATTTATTTTTGCCAATATTAAAGACATTTATTACTCAATACTATAAAGTGAATATATATATCAGTTACTATTTGCATCATAACGATGTTGCATTATAACGATGCCTTGCTGTGCAATACCTCATGTAAAGATAATTCATTATTTTTTTTCTCATTTATTGGATCCTTCAAATACCCACAAAACCGTTTTTTTGGGTCAAAAAAATCTCTTAATTTGTTAAGCTTGAGGTGTTGTTCTGCTCCCCAGAAAGGTGTCTTCCTAATTTGAAAATCTGAATCACCGAGATAAGCACCAGCACTATATTTTTCTAATGATTGAAAACTTCTAGACATCCAATTGGCCACTTGATCATCTTCTTCTTTATTGTCAGATACAGCATATATTGCAACATAATGTTCGGTCTGCATAGAAAGTGCCATATCCTTTAATTTAGTCAAAGGGTCCATTGATAAATAGAGACAAAATGTTTTTTGGTTAGGAATTGTTGTAAATGACTGTTCGAGAACATCAGCAACATTTACATCCGATCTGAGATAAACATTATCTGTCCTATACCTGTGGCGTTTTGGATTTGCATTTGCTTGGGCTTCGTATTCAGCTTCTAAAGAAGTTTTTTTACCAAAAATTTCACTCAATGCACCAGGAGGTTTAGAGTTTTCATACTTACGTAATTCTGTAATGCAGTCATTGTCTAAATCCTTAAAAGAAACAATATGAGCAGTTACTACTGGTTTCTTTTGAAATTCTGGTACTGAAGTTACAACTACCGTTTCAACATCCTGATCAGTGGTAGGCGATACTTTGACGATCCAGTTCATAACCTCTTTAAATTTAGAAATATCATATATATATGTTGCTGAATACAAAACTTTTTCAGGAATTGTTTCAAGTTCAAAAGTAGAGACAATACCCGGGAACCCAGGGCCACATCCTCTTGCAACCCAGAATAAGTCAGAATTTTCTGTTTCACTGCAAGTAAGTAATTTACCATCGGCTGTTACAGCCCTCAATGATTTAATCCTTTCACATGCCCATCCCCAACCTCTACAACACCATCCCATTCCCCCTTGGAGCAAAAATCCACCTATTCCAACGTCCGGACAATGACCTCCCGGAAAAAAACGATGCTTATTTTTCAACAAGTAAGAATTTAATGTTCTTCCATCAATAGAGGTGGAAGCTGTCACTGTTCTGGTTTCGTCATTGAAACGAATCTCTTTGTAGTTTCCTAAATCAAGCATTAATGCATCTTCTCTTACACCCCAAACGGCCCAACTATGTCCGCCTGAAATCACAGAAACCTTCAAATTTAAAATGTTTGCAAGCTTAACTCCATTGATAATGTCATTCTCTTCTTTTACTTGAATAATTGCTATCGGAAGTCTTGTTGGTACTCTCAGGTTAAAGACTCTCGAATATACGAGATTTTCAAAACCGTCCGAATTTTTCCAAGTTATTGGAAGCAATCGTGCAAGCTCTTGTGCATTCGGGTTAAGCAAAAATTGTTCAAAATTCTCCATTCTAATTGCTTTATTAATTTTAAGAAAAATGGTATATTTCACGTTAATGAATCTCACTTTTATAGTTGAATACAGAAGTATCGTACTCCGATATTTATGTGGGGCATGGAAAATTTGTGGGGAATTTTCGCATCATTTTCAATTCCATCTTACGCTTATGATTACAAAAATAAGTTTAATACGAAAAATCACTTAGTATTTCTAATATACTATAAAGAAGTGGAGTTAATTTATTATGGAGATGTCATCCTTAAATTTAAATTCCAACTGTTACACTTTTTATGGTTAAATAATCGTCAATACCATACTTGGAACCTTCTCTTCCAAAACCACTTGCTTTTATTCCACCAAATGGAAAAGCACAATCGGAAATGGCCCCGACATTTACACCAACCATTCCTGTTTCTAAAGACTCGGCTACTCTGTAGGCACAGCTGAGATCTTTTGTATAAAAATAACTAGCAAGACCCACGTTGCACTCATTAGCCATACGGATAACTTCACCTTCAGTTTTAAATTGAATTAATGATGCTACCGGACCAAATGTCTCTTCCATTGAACAAAGCATTTCAATTGTGACTCCTCCCAAGACTGTTGGTGCGTAATAATTGTTTCCCAACTTTTCAAGAATTTTACCGCCTAGTAATAACTGAGCACCCTTTGACACAGCATCACGAACATGGCTCTGAACTTTGTTTAAAGCATTTTGGTGTATAAGTGGTCCAATTGTTACACCCTCTTCTAAACTATATCCAATTTTGAACTTCTTAACTTCTTCAATTAATCTGGTCGAAAATACCTCATAAATTGATTCGTGGACAAAAATCCTGTTAGCACATACACATGTCTGACCGGCTCCCCTATATTTACAAACTAATATTCCCTCAATAGCGGAATCAATATCTGCGTCGGGGAAAACAATAAATGGGGCATTACCACCTAATTCCAAAGATAACTTTTTTAATGATCCAGAGCATTGTTCCATCAATAGTTTGCCTGTTTCTGTTGATCCTGTAAAGGAAAGTTTACGTATCAATTTATTTTGACAAAGTTCTTTTCCAACACTTTTTGTGTTAACATTTGAAGTCACAATATTTATTACTCCCTTGGGAAAACCAACTATTTCGGATAGGTATGCTATTGCTAATGCTGACAACGGTGTTTCTCCTGCTGGTTTAATAACGACAGTACATCCTGCGGCTATCGCAGCTCCAACCTTCCTTGCAATCATTGCCAAAGGGAAATTCCAAGGTGTGATAAAACCACAAACTCCAATAGGTTCCTTTATAGTATATGTTCTATTGTTAGCATTTTGGGTAGATAAGGTATCACCATATATACGGGGTGCTTCTTCAGCATACCACTCTAAATATGAGGCAGCATATTTAACTTCACCTAAAGCTTCGCTATAAGTTTTTCCATTTTCCAAACAAACTAACTTTGCTAAGTCATCTGAATTCTCAATCATCAAATTGGTCCATTTTCTTAATAGCTCCGCTCTCTTTCTTGGGGTATTCTTTTTGAAAATATTCAACGCTTTAGTTGCGGCCAATGCAGCTTTCTTGACTTCTGCAACCCCCAACTCTGATACATGAGCAATTATATCTCCATTTCCAGGATCAATCACGTCGAATTTGGCTGAATTTGAAGCATCCACCCATTCTCCATCAATATAACCCATGGTTTTGAATAACTTGTTATCTGAAAGGTGCTTCTGCATTTTTGTAATTAGTAGAAATGTATATTTAAAAATTTTATTTACTTTCTTAATAGATAAATTTAAATCTATTCTTTGCTTCATAGTGAAGGTATATATAGTACAAAACTTCTGAGGAATCAATCTGGTTGCAACGTTTCGGAATCCCCACATACAAAGCAAATGACTGAGCCAAATAAAAAAATTCCGAAACCTCGAATACTTTCTTAAACCTATAAAAGCATAAGCTTTTGGTATTCCTTGAATTCATTCTTCTAATCCATTTTTGAGAAATTACCTAGAAAATGAAGAAAAGAACAATTACGCCTTTGCTAATCGATGGGATTGAAGAAACTAATTCACAAAAACTTATTTATGATGTTGAAAACCCGTTTAATAGTAGCAGTATTTTGTACAAAGCTCAAGGTGCATCTGTTGAAGATATTAAGAAAGCAACGAAGAGTTCATTTAAAGCTTTTCAAATTTGGAAAAATCTTCATATGAAGAGAGGAGAAAAGTCCTCAAAAATGTTGCTGCCATATTGGAAAGCAGAAGAGATTATTTTGTCGAGATACTCGAAGAAATGGGATTATCAACCTGGTTTGCAAATTTCAACGTAGATACTAGTCTTGGAATTATTCAAGAATGTGCTGCTAATGTTTCGGTTCCATTGGGATCAATTCCTCAAACTTTAAACGGGCAACCTTATGCCATGGTATTGAATGAACCACTTGGACCTATCTTAAGTATAGCACCTTGGAATGCACCTGTAATATTGTGCATTCGTGCTATTGCTGGGCCTGTAGCTGCTGGCTGTAGTGTTGTTTTAAAGACATCAGAACAGTCACCACTCATACATTTTGAGTTGGCTAAACTTTTCAGTGACGCTGGTGTACCTGCAGGCTTAGTTAATTCAATCAACCACAGTTCGGAAACTGCTGCCAAAATTACGGAAACTCTTGTTAGCTCGACTTACATCAAAAAAATAACTTTTACTGGATCTTCACAAGTTGGAAAAATTATAGCTTCAATGGCAGCAAAGAGTTTAAAGCCCATTCTATTAGAGCTAGGTGGAAAGTCTGCTGCAATTGTGACTGAATCAGCCAATATAGACGAAGCAGCCGAGAAAATATTAAACAGTGCGTTTGCTCATAATGGACAAATTTGTATGAGCACGGAAAGGGTATACGTAGTCAATGAGATATATGATAAGTTTATGGAAGCAATTTCAAATTCTTTCATTAAGTTTACTTCTACAAAAATTTCTTTGCCCCAAAGATCTACAAAACAGGCTGCTAAAATTGAATCTTTGTTAAGCAATGCTTTAGAGGGTCATGAAGAAGCCTTTTGTGGTAAAATTTTAAGAAATGATGCTTACATAGAACCATTAATCTTGAGAGATGTTTCTGAAGGTAAGGAAATTTACGACACTGAAACTTTTGGACCTGTATTTTACATCAACAAAGTGTCTAATATTAATGAAGCAATTCAAAAAGTCAATAAAAGTAGATATGGACTTTCAACTGCCATTTGGTGTAGCGATATTCTTACGGCTTTAGAAATTTCCAGGAATATTGATTCAGGAGCAATCCACATAAATGGTAATACTGTTCATGATGAGCCTACTCTTCCTCACGGAGGGGTAAAGGAAAGCGGATATGGAAGATTCAATAGTTTATGGGGATTAAGGGAATTTCAATATACTAAAACAATTACTATGTCTAAATGAAGTCAGACGCCGGATATATTTTCAATCTAATAATATTTTTTTATTGTTCTACTGTAACATTTTTCTTAAAGCCAATTCCGTAAATTACATATTGTAGCCGTCTTGAGAGAGTTCGGTGTTATTTTCGCCACTTTCCGTTGATTTTGGTCCAAATAAAAAGGTTTTGGATTAGAAATTTCATACTTTAGGAGACATGACCCTTAAATAGCTAGTTAGAATGCCTTAGTACCGGGTGCTGGTATTGGGGTAGCCGTGTAAGGCAATTAGCCGCAGAAAATATTAATCTGGTAATCAATTATATAAACAAAGCCGCTTTGATAAATCTTTCTTGTAAAACCTCACGGTTAAAGATTCTTATTCATGCTGTTTGTCTTGGTCTTTTGTTGACTGGTTGGGATGCAAATATCTCTGCAGGAAAACTAGAGGAAACAAAAAATCTATCACTACTAAAAACTATAGCTGACAATGACGAAGCAGCATCGCAGTTTGTCTTTCTTGCAAAGTTTTCAACATAGAAGGGTATTGAGCTATGGACGATAGATTTTCTATATAAAAATATACCATGTTGTTAATACTCATTATAATTTAATTTCTCGTATATATTAAATCTAATTAAACAAAAATAGACTAGAGCTTTCAACTATATTGTTTAATCGCGAAAGAAACTTTGCATCCTTGAAAATATATTCCATTATTTCAGAATATTTCGATAAATAATCCTGGATACAAATTATAGTTGACAAACCAATGATAAATGCTACTCTATCAATATTTTCCATATTTCTAAACCCTTTATTCTTTTTTGTTTGGCCTTTCATATAAGCAACGCTAGTTGATGCAATTACAGTTTCTCTGAAGATGGTAAGCCAAAATTCCCTATTTGTCAGTGCTGTATTTTCTGAACTTCCTCTGAAACGGTTGCATTTTCCCCGTCTATATAAGAATGCAAATAACCCACCAATAAACCCTATGACTCTTAATTTATACCCATGAGTACTCTTATACTGGGAAAAGAAAGATGTCAAAATAAATAGCAGGGTTGGTACTGCTGTAAAAAACGTTGTGAATTTAACTGATTCCTTTAAAGCAGTTTTCAACATATGTAATATGTTAAACTTGTGTTTTTCACATGTATTGTTATAAATATTAATGTTTTGTTTCAAATGTTTTGCCACCATTAAAGGAAAAGCATATTTAAGGACTTCAGAATAAATTTGAGGTAAATTCCTTGTAAATAAAGTTTTGAAGTTCAACTTGATCCTTACGTTTGATGTCGAAGAACAACGCAATAAAGAAAGCATATCGCCTTCAATAAAAGTTCCTGAGAGGCTATTATTGATGAAACCGAAGTATTTATGTACCAAATCATGTACATTCTCTGGATACATTATATATTCTTTCCAAGTATAGGATACTGCAAGGGGAAAAATTAACCAAGATTTGTTACGAAGGTGATTAAAACTCTTAACCAGTATTGATTTTCTTTGAAGATCATTCACAGAAACTCCTTGGACTTCATTATATTCAATCTTCTTTAACTGCTTGTGTTCAAATAGTCTATATCCGTAGTCTACCCCAAATACAAAGTAAAACCATGAAACTGTGTGTAACAAAAATGCTTTGGGGTAGTAAAAATATACTGATACAACGCACGAAATAATACTTGCAAGTGATGATCCAACTAGCTTTTCCTTTTCTGATAATGAGTCAGTCTTAAAAGTCTTAAAACTTTTCAAAACAATCGCTTTGATAAATGGCTTTGAAGAAATTAATAGAGAAATAAACTTCGAAAACTGAACCACATCATATTCAGAAATGGCCAAATGTAAAATTTTGAAACTCTTTGACATTCTCGAATTGGACAAATGCTTAAGGATCTTTCTTGCAAGATTACCAATGGAAAAAAAAAAAATGAAAGATCTTGTACCATTTCTAATACCTTTCATAAGTAGCCTGAATATTTGATTTTGACTATTTGCGTCATTATTTTGGCATATTTTGATTTTATCATTTAGTATTCTAGGGTAAAAAAAATGTTGAATTTGATATATTTCATGTACATCAGTTAGGAGTAACAGGATCCAATTTAAAATGTTGATGTTTTGCATCATCGCATATATTTTTGAATTGAAGTTACCTCAATATTAACTAAAAGATAAATTAACAGGAATACATGCCCAATTATATGCCCTCTAATATCCCCACATCTTCCGAAGGAATACTCAAAAGAATCGATCTCACTTTTTTACATTGAATCGGCTAATTATTACTGCATTCTTTAAATATTATGTATTAAAAAGCAGAAGTACAAATATTAAGAAAAAAAATCAATTCAAGTTGTTTTAAAGATAGCATAAAACGTCGCGTAGCCGACAGTTGTTACAAGGGTCCCAAATATGATACCTAAACTGAGGTTGAATCCTTGTTCAAAAAAACCAATGTTTCTGTGATACTTAATAGTAAATGGTTTGACCATAATGTCTTCATAATTGATAGGATTAGTAGCCTTTAATTTCAAATTTTCTTGTCTTAATCGTGAATTTCTGCAAACATATCTACTATATTGAAAGCATTCTCTGTCTAAGTCATAATAGAATGTAAGTGAAATTTTGTTTATAGTAGCACAAACAATTGAAGGAACAAATTTTAAAATATAGTTACCAAATGCTTCTGTTCCAAAATAAGAAAAAAGATTGATTTTATTTGTTTGCAAGGAAAGGATAGCTGTCTCGGTCGTACAGGCACTTATATGAAGAACACCAGGTAAATTGCTTGTTGGAAATTCATCAAGTAAATTGATTACTTTTATTTTCAACAGAGAATTACTTTCAAAGTATTGTACAAGCTTTTCTAAATACAACTCATGTACCAAAATAATATCTGGGGCACAAAGTGTGAGACCACTTCCACTTTCCTTCCAACTGATAATTCCAGGCAACACGTTTTCTATCGATGTCTTTACATCTAATAATGCCACTACATTAACACCATCTGCTCTGTTTGTTACTCCCTGTTTGTCAGAGGGAAATCGGTTTGTAATGGTTTTATGAAAACCTTGATCTAGAAGAACTCCCCCGTCCTTTGGAGAATAAATGTAGTATTCTGAATCAAGATATCTGGGTAATAATTTCATAATTTCCTTCTCCACATTTTTGCTCTCTGGTATTTTAATTACGGCAGGAGTTCCAGCAGAAATAGCATAAATTAGTGGTATGCATGTAGATGCTAAAGGCTCCCATGAATTTCCTATAATTAGCGCAGTCTGCTCATGCCATGTATCGAAGCATGTTTTATTCGGAAGTACTGTTGTTTTGTAAATCTTCATAAGGTTATCATACTCTGATTTTAATACCTTTAATGTAGTGTATATATTGATATTTTCAAGGATTCCGATATCTGGAGTACCAGAAATATCAGAGAAAATGGCATCTATGATATTGGATTTATTTTCTAAAATCAATTCTTGTAATTTACTCAACTGATTAAGGCGATAGCCAATCCTTAGTGCTCTTCCATCTTTTACTGATTCTTGGATTGATGCTTGTTCCTGTATTTGTTAGATATAATTCCTCTTTCTTGAGAAACAAAATTTAATATACTGAGATACTTACAGACATATTCTTCATTAAAACTAAATCTTGGAATTATAAGAAGTTCAGTATTTAATTTTGACTTTAAATCCAACTTAAATAGGATGGGAATCTATGTTAATTATCTCCCCACAATCCGGAAAAGGATAAATGCTTCGCCACATATTCCGAAAATTTTCTCATATAAACTCATATAAGCGTCAAAGAAATCCCAGAAATATAGATCACTAACATAAGGATGGATTATAATAATAAAGATTTTCCTATTTTATTTGTCTCTCATGGTTCTACTATGATGCTTGGCGAGGAGTCTGTTGTTAGTAGAGATTGGGAAGAACAAGGAAGGAATGCTGAAAGGAATGGCGTTCAGGGTGTAATTATATTGGGTGCTCATTGGGAAAAGACTGGTCAAAATCTTGTTCACGTATCTATCAAGGAGCCACCAGGAATGAATCCAATTTCATGGGTGGCAAAAGAAAAATATGAAAATTATCGTATCAATTGCAGCAAGGATCTAGGTACAACGGTTGGAAATATTCTTACAAATGGAGGAATAAATGTTGTATTAGATGATACAGATGACTGGATTCATGACTCATTAATTCCTTTAAAGTGGATGTTTCCAAAAAAGTGCCCTCCTGTTACACTTCTATCAATAAATTCAAAATATGATGCTGCGTTTCACGCCAAAATTGGTAAGTTATTATCGCACTTAAGATCGCAAAAGATTTTGTTGATAGGTACAGGTGGCGCAGTTCATAACTTATATAGAAACTATTGGCCGCAAATTGTGATTCATAGGAATAATTTTGCTCAGGAAGTACCACCAGATCAGTGGGCTCTTGATTTCAGAGATTACTTTTATGATGCTATCCATACGAATCCTTGTACCGGGAAAGCAAGTATAAGAGAGGGTGTTTTAAGATTAATGCATAACCCAAGGTTTAGGGATGCTCATGGTACAGATGACCATTACATGTCGGCTTGTTTTGTTGCTGGTGCTTCTAAAGAAAGAGAAGTTGGATATTTGACAAGTGAAGTGTGGGAACTTCAAAATATGGGAAACTCTCAATACATTATCGGTTCTTGGTGAATAGTTTTTTTTTTACATATTATATTTTATTTTAGTATTATTTTAAGGTAGCACGAACTGGTTAACTTTAAAAGAAAATAAGCACCTTTTCAAAATAACTTTGTAAACTTTTTATAAATCACTTTTTGAAGCTTAAATGACTATGATGTTAATTTGAATTACTTTTATCAACTACAATTGTATACTAGCGTAGCGTAGGGTTATAATATATCCTCTAATTACAATTGATATTTTGCAAATCTGTTAATTTAAAATTTACAAAGGGTACATTAATCAATATCATGCATATTTTAATATGCGTGTGGCCGAATAGATTGCATAGGATTTTATTCATCTTTATTTGAAGTACTATAACAACTTTTCTTTTAGCAAAGACTTAGACTAGTGGCGAATGTGAAATTTCATTCCAGATGATTAAATAGGACTCCTATTAATGAAAATTATAACTTTCTAAAAGAAATAAAATACGAGAGGAACTAGCATCAAATAAATATGGACTTTTGTTATAGCAGCAGTTGAAGTTTACATATCTGGCATTTGTAATAAGTCTAAAAGCCTTAGAATTTTATATTGTCTTATTTACTCAATATAGTTCTAATAAAGTATTAATTCAGAAATTATGAAATATAATCTGGAAAATAAAGAATGATACAAGGAGAACAACTATATTAGAAACTCCTGTTGGCCATACTGGTTTTTTTTTCAATATCAGGATAGTAACATTTAGCAACAGCTTTTGGTATATCACTATAAGAAATATTATAAGTTAGCGCTGAATTAAAAACAGCTGCGCTCGAATCCCCTCCCGCCAAACATTTGGAATTTAATATACTTATAGAATTATTATTGACCTCAATACTGGTGAACCTTGGATCTGTATCAACGGTTTTATTTTTAATATAATCTTTATAGTAATTAGGAAAGAAACACAGGCCAATTGTATTTGGAATCTCTTCATATGAGATATTCGTTAAATTTTTTTCAACATATCCGTCTTCAACTTGGCAATTAGCATTCAAAATACTTATGCTAGTATCTGTATAGCTAATACCTGTGTAATTGACTGGACCCGCTGGTTGCATATTGCTTTATTATTAACTGTGAAAATTTTTTTACCAGATCGTCGCTTCTGAATAATTGTGTTCCTAAAAATAAAATAGAAGACGTCCGGGTACCATACAGTGCTGATGAGTTGATTTACGAGCAAGAGAGGGCTTAGTTGATTGTTATAGAGGTAAAGTAGGATAACTGCATAATCAGTTGCAATTCATAATACTTTTACTATTTTTTATTCAAGTTCTGGGTGAATTTTTATTCACTACTATGCTCTTGTTGAATTTTAATTACGATTCTTTTTCTGACAAGAATATAAGCTATGTATTGAATGAACATTAGTTAGCACGCTAGTTGATTATTAAGTATTATTTTCTACTATTTCTCTTTATTCCTAAATATCCTGAAGCTCGATAAGACACTTCAAGACTTTGCTTGCTACTTGAAAAGTTTTACTATAGTTAAGAAAATAATTTTTTCATTAATATATGTGCAATCCTACCTTTCATAAAAGATCATCGTAATTGGGAATATATTGGCTTAGATTCATCAAAGATAAGGAAGTTTAGAAACGGTCATTAAATTGAAAAAAAATGCAGTATTTGTACATTTATGTAGGCAATACATGAAATATAGTCTTAAGCATTAAATATTAAAAACATAGATTCCAAAACATTTTATAGGCAGCGAAGCAGATAGCTTAGAATAAGATATGATACTATAATTCCCAATTTTCTGACCCTCATCTTGCATATATATATATATATATATATACAGATAAGATAAAAAAAATTATAAACTTAAAATATGAGATAATTGTATCCAATTAGAGTTGAAAAATATTAGGGAACATGAAGTATTTATTAGTTAAGTTCATATTTTGTTAAATCTTTTTCATGGAATGAAGCTTTAGTCAAATCGCTACAAAATAAAATATGTTGCTGCTTGATTTTTGTGTGGAAATATTATTTTGGTGAATTCAAATGGGCCGTCTGATGAAAGTTTTGCTGCAGGTTATTCTGGTGGGTATAAGCCAGTTGATGCTTGGTACGGCGAAATTAAAGAGTATGACTTCGATAAGCCTGGGTATAATGAATCCACGGAACATTTTACTCAACCTATATGAAATCAACAAGTAAAGTTGGAAATATTAATCAATATAAGCACTTCTCACATTATCACCACGTAAAATACAATCTGAACTTAATTGTTAAATACACTTTAAAATCATCAACCATAACTTTATCTTTTAACTAAAGTGGTTAGGGTTACATTTGTTTTAATTCCACTGAAATAAATATTTAAGAAATAAGAATCATAATCAATACATTCTATTTCATAAGCCTTGAATGAAGATACTGCTCATTTAAACTTTCATATGCTCACCAGCACTTCATAAAATGGAAACAATTCCGAATAAATACAATTCGCAGGCCTGATTTTAAATCCCTTAAATCCGCTATCTCCAATAATTCCAGTTGATCATTTAATCACTTAACTACGCTATGTCCAATAATTCCAGTTACTCATTTTTATTCAAATATAAATAGTTCCCCAAGTCGCGATTCGACTAAAGGGTTCAATTTAAAACAGAACAATTTATCAATATCAAAAGGGAAATGAGCAAAGTGGAATATCAGAAACTAGGTGCTTCAGGCTTATCTATTTCCCCTATTATTATAGGTTGTATGACATTTGGAAAACATCTAAATTGGTGTATTGACGAAGAAGAAAATGTTATGGAAATTTTGAAGAGGTGTTATGACAATGGTTTAAGAACATTTGATACCGCAGATGTCTATTCGAACGGTGCATCGGAAATTCTTTTAGGTAAGTTTATCAAGAAGTACAATATACCAAGAGAAAGAATCGTGATTTTGACGAAAGTTTGGGGTGCGATGGACTATAACGATCCGGACTTTAACGCACATAATTTGGGCAGTGATAAATATCCTGAAATCAACTACGTTAATTCTAAAGGGTTGTCCAGGAAACATATCCTTAATGCGGTTGAGCATTCCGTCAAGAATTTGGGCACTTATATCGACGTATACCAAATTCATAGATTAGATCACAGTACCCCAAAGGATGAGATTATGAAAGCGTTACATGATGTTGTTGAAGGAGGAAAAGTGAGATATTTAGGAGCATCTTCAATGAAAGCTGTTGAATTCGCGCAATTGCAATTTATTGCTGAAAAAAATGGCTGGACAAAGTTTATTAGTATGCAGAATTATTACAACCTTTTGTACCGTGAGGAAGAGCGAGAAATGATTCCTTTTTGCAAAGAGAACGACTTCGGGAAGATTGCAATCATTCCTTGGTCGCCTATTGCAATGGGCCTTCTCGCACGTCCTGTGTCTGCTGATGGAACTGAACGACTGAAAAAGGACCAAATATTTTCTCTAATGGGATTGAATAAACCAACCGAAGCAGATAAGGAGATCATATACAGGGTTCAAAAGATCGCAGAAAAGTACGAAGTAAGTATGGCTGCAGTAGCCACAAGATGGGTTCTAAGTAAGGGGGCAAACCCAATAGTTGGAGTTAATTCTTTGGAAAGAGTAGACGATTTTGTGAAAGCATTGAATTTCGAATTGACTGAAAGTGAAATTTCTCTGTTAGAAGAACCTTATGTTGCAAAGGCAACTCTTGCTATGTGGTGAATAATACTTTTACCTAGAATAAATACGGCGAAAACCTATAACCTGCCACTTTATGCAAACTGTTTAATCACACATAAAAAGTATGAATCGTTCTTGGTTTTCTTTAAAGAGTATTAGGACTTCATGATTCACAAAATTGTGATTTCTTTTTTTTTTATATACTTCCGAGAACAAATTTGAAAAATGATCTGTGAGTACTTTTTGGGAAATTAGGAAATTAGGAAATTTGAAACTTTTGCTTTAAACTGAACTCGGATTTATTGTTATTTTTAGTGTGCGACCTTTATAATATTATATATATATATTGATACCATATACGGAAAGTTGCAACTCATTATGAAACAAAGTAAAGAAAATGAGGTCAGTTCAACAGGCTAGTACTTTTACATCGCGCATATTGCTCTACTGTGTTCTAGCAAAGTAATATGCAAAAATTTTTCTTAATAGAACTGTATCTAAAAGTGGTCTTATAAAGATGGGTGGGTATTTTAACCATAATTTTGTGTGGAAGTTGGTCCCTTTACCCACTCCCCCCTCGTCCCCCCCCCCCATTTTTCGCACTTCTGATAAAGTACCCACTATTTCCCCCACCAAATAAAGTTGATTTTCCCAACGTTTCTCCATAACTCGTTACATGCCTCCGAGTATTTGACATAGTATTTAAACAATTGATTTTCAGAATGATTTAAGATTATTATTAAGTATCAAGTAATAAAAGAGAAATGTCAACACAGACATACTTAGATGAAATTAAAGATAAATTATATGGTGATTCCACAGTCGCAAAAATTTGGGGAGTTGCCTTGCCTGCTTTGAGCGAGCAAAAACCAAGGACTGAATTTCCTGACTACTCTAAAGGGAGTAGATATTCGACCAAAGATGTTGACTATTGGACTTCCGGCTTCTTCCCGGGTTCTCTTTATACATTAGTTGAGAGAAATGACAAATACCCTGACTACTTTCCTTCTGAAAAAATTCATCCAGTTAAATTAGAATATGCTGCCAGATGGTGGTCACATCCTTTGAAATCTAAAGCAACAAAGACAGATAATCATGATATAGGTTTTATGATGGAACCTTCTTTCAACAAAGAGCTTGAGCATAGTGGAGATAAGGAATGCAAGGATATACTCATTACTGCAGCAAATTCTCTTGCTACTAGATTTGACGATAAAGTTGGCTGCATTAGAAGCTGGGATGATTTCTTCGGTATATGGCCTTCTTCATATGAAAAAGAATTAATCGTTATTATTGATAACATGTGTAATTTAAATTTGTTATATCGTGGAGCCCAATTAAGTGGTGACTTGCGCTTATCTACAATTGCCACTACACATGCAGAAACAACTATGAAAAACCACTTCAGGGAGGACTGGTCGTCTTATCATGTTGTTGTTTATGATAGAGAAACAGGAAATGTATCAAAGAAGCATACTGCACAAGGTTATGCCGATGAATCACCTTGGGCAAGAGGCCAAGCTTGGGGAATATTAGGTTACGCTGAGGCATATTATTTTACTAAGAATCAAAAATTTTTAGACACTGCAAAAAGAATCGTTAAATATTACTTGTCCCAATTACCTGAAGATGGAGTTCCCCCATGGGACTTCCATGCTCCTGATAAACATATACGTGATGTGTCATCAGGTATGGCCGCTGCGTTTGGTATGCTTAAAATCTATGAATATACTAAAGAAGAACAATATTTAAATAGTGCATTGAAGCTTGTTTTCAATTGTACTAGACTCTGCTTTAATGAAAAATCAATTCTCCACGAGGACGGTACTGTTGATCTTGGTAATACAGATACTATCTTGAACGGATCAACCTTTAACAATAATCCAGATGCTCCAGAAGAACATAGAATGTCAGATCATGGTTTAGTTTATGCTGATTATTACTTTTTGATGATAGGGAACAAATTATTAGAATTAGGCCTTTACAAATAGATTTGATATTCGTAAATTCAAGTTAGTGCCTTTAATAAAATATACCCTATAAATTAGGTAAATGTTTATATTTCATATGAAGTACTTTTTTATCTCATTCCTCATTTATTGTAGAATAAACTGTAACTTAGATTTCAAGAGATAATTTTATGTATGTTAAATGTGTATCCTTTCCAAGTGAATATAAATCTAAAGAGAGAACTACTGATCATATTTGAGTTTTAACTCAACTCGTGTTGCACCATGTATATTTTCTTAGAAAACATACTAGATTTTAGACAATATTAATTCATCAAAGATTTTTAGTGAAGAGTAATAAGCTAATCATAAATGAGCATGTATGTTATTTGGAAAATGTTGATAAATACCTATTGCTGAGGTTCACTAGATTTTTCTTCTCACGATATGAATTATTATTAAAAAAATCAATTTTCAAGCCTCGCTCACCCGTTCCAAAACAGACTATATGAGAACAAAGCATGCACCGAAGTGCTTATTTAAAGATTAAAGTATCTATTATTGTCTTCCCTCATGCTATTTGGAGCTATCTTGATTAACTTCCATGTAACTAATAAACCACCCTTACCCGTAGACCCATAAACCACAGAACATTGTCTTTCAGTATCGGAAAATCGAATAGGTGTTTCCCTTCGTCTGGAAGCATCTTTAAAACATTTTCATTTTCTTCAAATGAAAACAAGAGTTCTGCTCTGCGATGAACTGCAATTGGGCAAATTCTATAACTTTCATTGAAGAAGCTCCTAAATATCTTACATGTCCCATTTCAACGACGTCATGTAATGCTTTCATTATTTCCTTTTTAGGCGTATAATGATCAAACCTGTGTACTTGCAACACATCAATATAAGTCTCCAATCTCTTGGCAGAACTTGCAACAGCAGTATGAATATATTTTCGTGACAACCCTCGGGAATTTACGTAGTTTATCTCAGGATATTCGCTGTTCCACATTTGAATAGACTGAAATTGGAATCATTATAATCCATAGGTGAATATACTTTTGTGAGAATTACAATTCTTTCTCTTGGAATGTTATATTTCTTGATAAATTTACCTAAAAGAATTTCAGATTTGCCATTCGAATATACATCAGCTGTATCAAAAGTTATCAAGCCATTATCGTAAAATTTCTCTAAAATGTTCATACTTGTTTCTTCGTCATCAATAACCCATGAGTGGTAATCCTTACTGCCGAAAGTCATATAGCCTACGATAATAGGTGAAATTGATAATCCCGACGCACCTAATTTTTGGTGTGCAAATTTGTCCATTGTTATAAATAAATATATAGTCATATTTGGATACATGAAACCATTATTAAGTGCTTCTTTTATATTAAGCTCTTGCAATTAGTGGAAATAAAGGAGCCATCGGTAATAGCGCGAAGAAGCTCGCATTACAGAGAACGAACAAACCCCAGATTATACTTCACACGTTTATATATCAAGAGGAAGATAGTGGGTATTGGCTAATGTACATAAAACGACTAGGTAATTCAATATCTTTTTATTGGGACTGGATATCGATTTGATATTGAGATTACCAAATTCAACTCAGAAGTATTTTCAGTAACAGATCCTTCATAGAGAGTTTAATTTTTCTCTGATCGCCCACCTATCCCAGACCTCATCACTGAAACAGGTGACTCTACTATTATCCTAAGCGATTACATTTTTTCCTAAGAAATTTACATGATGTATTGATATGTGTTGACAATTTTTTATAAATGATCTATATTTGTAATGGATTCACATTAGCCTACGTGTAACACAATACTTCGATGTCGATTATAATGATGCTTGAATGATCCTTTGCTAACAATTTGACGCACCCTTACGCTTGATTTCGCGACCCCCCACCAGCGATATCCCCACCATATTTGTTTCCCCCTTTATGCCAGTAATGATATACCCAGAAATTTTGGTATATAAATCTTATAACTCCTGTGAATTAATCTATTTTCAATTAACCTATATTCAATTTACTATATATATATATATATATTAAATTAAATTTAGACATAAAGTATTAGGTTAAAAATGTCGGATTGGAACAGATTAATTAGATTTGAGGCTAATGACGGCAAAATTTATAGAGGAGACGCAATAGTTTCAGATTCGGATTATGACATTGGTAAACAATTTGCTGAAGGGAAAACCATCAAAGCCAGGGTCGTGGTTGGTAGTAATATCTTTACTGACGCCAAGGTGAGTGACGAGGTATTGGAAGTTAAGAAATTATTGGGACCTCTTACTGCCGAGGATGTCCCTGTTGTTAAATGTATTGGAATGAATTACAAAGAACACCTAATGGGTATAATTGAGCCACCACCATATCCACAACTCTTTTATAAGCCACGCACGAGTGTCGCTGACCAGAATGAAGACATTCCAATCCCACTGTTTGCACAAAATACTTGTGATTATGAAGGTGAATTATGTGTTGTGATAGGAAAGACAGGTAAAAATATAAATGAGGAAGACTCATTGAGTTATGTTGCAGGATATGTTTCAGGAAATGATTTATCAGCTCGTGATTGGCAATACTTCCCAGAGTATGCTGGAAAAACACCACAATTGGGATTTTCTAAGAGTTTTGATAGATACGCACCTTTGGGACCAGCAATCGTTTCTTCTAAAATCATTAAAGATCCCCATGCACTTCAACTCCAAACTAGAATTAATGGCGACCTTCGTCAAAATTGTGGTACTGATGATCTTTTGTTTAATATTTCAAGAATCATTGCCTTTATTAGTCAAGAAACTACTTTAGAACAGGGAACAGTTATTATGACAGGTACTCCTAATGGGTGCGGAGGTATCGATGGAAAATACTTGAAAGATGGGGACCATGTAGAGATTACTATTGATCAAATCGGAACACTCTCTCATAATATTAAGTTCCTTTAAATACTAAATTTTTGAATGATTATATGTTTCGATTTATAATTTATGAGAATACATGTTTTCGTCTTTTATAAAATGGAAAGTTCTCTTGTTCATTACTAATATACATTACAATATATATGAATGAAAACTACTTTAAACTGGTCTATAAATGCTTAAATTATAAAATGGTTTCGCTGTCGAAAAATAGTGACAGCTCAAAATTGTGGGCTGTCGTTTTTTGGCATTGTTAACTCTCTGAATAAATAAATTCTAAGGTATGTTCGAATATAAATATACCATCAAGGAGAACGTAGAAAAAATAAATTAATATTTATGAGCTCTGTTCTAATGGTATGGAAGAACGTGCTTAGAAATTTCATATGGTGTTCAGTAGAAGTGCCACTATCTTCAAGGATTCGATAATGGTCGGTTTGATTATACAAGTCGTTGCAGGAATGCTCTCTGATCATACAAATAAGGGAATGTTGACAGACTCATACACAGCAATTTTGTTTCAAATAGATATATCTAGAAGCTTAGAAATCGTTAATCATAAAGTTATGGTCCTGACAACACAAAACGTATAGCTCTAAATTATAAAGTTTTGGATTGTCACTCATCGGGTCTTACGAGGAGAGGTTTGATTTCATTCATCTATGAGGTACTCAAAGTTAATGAGTTCCAACAAAATGAAGTCAAAAGTTTAAATACTATCTATAAATATATTCGTAAAACAGAGGAGTACTTGAAATTTGTGGACGGCCTAGCTAATAAAGTAGACGAATTTTACTAGAATAATTGCAGAACCTTCATCAAACAGTTGTGTGTTCTTGGATCATAGATTTTCCTTGTTCCCTTCAAACGTAATGATGTACAAAGTTTGTTTACTTTCATCTCTCAAACTTTCAAAGTGCAGAAAAAAGATGTGAAAAATTATATTAAAGAAGAAGTTTATAATACTGTTCAGTTGTTGTCAAAGTATTTGACCCTGAAAAGCAAAACGAGGCCATAACAATTACGTATTAAAAAAGCAAGATATGTTTGAAAATTGTAGAAAAGCTTATTTATGTGAAAAGCGAGCTTACAAAAAGCTAATATCCTATTTTAGGTTTAACAGCATTTACATTGCACAAGAGTTTGTATATGGGAGATTCTTTATCGGAAATCATTATCATGCATTGGGCCATTTATAATATTGAAATATTTGGATCAAAAAAGCAATACATTACCTTTGGATCAAGAAACCTACTATATCGCTAAAGAGAAGTTAGAAATAATACACTCTTATAACATAATACATGGAGATATAAACAGAAGAAATATTTTATATTCCAATGGAAACGTATATTTTATTGATTTTGGATACTCAGAATATTCAGATGACAGATTAGGCTCCAACCGAGTGAGTGCTAATCCAGAAAGGTGTAGGAGTGGGAACAGACAGTCGTGCAGAAGTTTTGGTCAGTCCATTCCAAGGAATAAGAAGAATTGGATGACGGGTTAGCAGACAATGTAGAATAGTATAGAAATATAGAAATATAGATACTGTGTAAGACAATGTGATCGTGATCAATCAGAACTAAAGCAAATGTTGAGTATTCCATCAATTGCGGTTTACCGAGTCCTTCTCTATCCACGATTGTGATATTGGAAGACTAGTGCACAATTTGTTGCAACTTTCCGAATGCGAATGCGAATATGGACTAGTTTTGACTATTGTGCGAACTATGAGGTATTCGGTG